TCAAAGACCAAATACATATTTCACAAAATCACAGTACACCCTTGGGTCTTCAAACCCTGATCCCTTACGTCAAAAGGATGTCCAACTCAAAAGATACTGCCACATTACTAGAATCCCATTCAATAATTAATAATCTAGTTCATCATATTGTATGAATGTCTCCCAGGGTGAGGCCACTCAGATTGGCAGGCTTCCTTTCATTCTTGTGAGGTTGCAAAAGCAGAAGTAGTCTCAGCAAACACAGAGCTTTACCATTTCATGTATTTGATATAATTGAGCTAAGAGGCAATGTCATCTCTTGCTCTGAGCCTCTTTTGAGGTGTTAATGTGATATTGGAATCCTCTCAGTTCATAATCCACTTACTCATTTCTTTCCTCTGAACTACTGTTTCTTCTCTCTTAATAAGTACCCAAACTTCTCCACCTTTGGAAGGGGCATTACAATCAGCCACTGTGATGGTCTGGATTGCAGGCAACAATACTAGTCTAGCAAGTACTTCTTCCTCAGTGCGCCCCATTTAGATAGGGTTAGGTTACAGAGGTGCAGAACTAGTGGGCTATTTTTACTATCAGGCAATATAGGTGTATTAACTGTTAGCCCCAGTTTTGCTCAATGGGGTGAAAGCACAACCCATTCCCATCAGTCCATTAGGAATTCTGACCTAAGTTACAATACGTAGTTACAATTTCTTGCTTAGGAATCATTCCTGCTTCCAGCACATGTAGTTGCAGCCCTGATCCTAAGACCATTGCATCAGGTAGGGGAATGGGGAAAAAAAAGAAAAGGAAAGGTGAGGTGATGTGGGGGAAAAAAAGACAGAGAAAAGTATCTTGTAAGTAAGAAAAGACTGTCACCTTTATCCTTCAGGAGCTACTTCAGGAACCAAGGACAAAAGGCAAATACTTTTTAAGAAGATATTCTTGGTCGGGTGTGGTGGTCCACACCTATAATCCCAGCACTTTGGGAGACTGAGGTGGGCAGACTTGAGGTCAAAAGTTCAAGACCAGCCTGGCCAACGTGGCAAAACCCAGTCTCTACTAAAAATACAAAAATTAGCTGGACGTGGTGGTATACTCCTGCAATTCCAGCTACTCCAGAGGCTGAGGCACAAGAATCACTTGAACCCAGGAGGCAGAGGTTGCAGTGAGCTGAGATAGTGCCACTGCACTCTAGTCTGTATGACGGAGTGAGACTCTGTCTCAAAAAAAAAAAAAAAAAAATATTCCTCTAGTCACTTAGGAAATAATAAGGCTTACAGGAGCTGAGAACCAGGAATCATGGATGAAAACCAAAATACATATTTTATAATATTGTAATAAATAAAGGAGAAGGGACAGTACTTCCTTATAAAAGAATTCCAATTAATAAATGAAGAGAATAAAAGAAATGCAAAATAACCATTAGGCAGGTAACACCCACAGATGGATGCTAAAATCAGTGGATGAGAGTTTGAAAAGAAACAGAATAATAGCAAAATGTCAAAGTATGTCTCCCAAGATTTGGATCAATTACAAAGGGAAAAACAGTACCTTTAAGTGGAGAAACCCAGCAGACTTTGCCATGTAATCAAGGTTACCATAACCAGTAATAAAATTTTTATCCACATTATGTACTCCCTAATATGATATACTGAGAAGGACACAACATCACTTTCTGGTATTCTTGCCAGAAATGCATAACCTCAATCTAAAGCTGAGGAAACTTTAGTCAAACCCAAATTGAGACACATTCTACAAAATAACTGATCGATATTCACCAAAAGTGTTCTGGTCACAAAAGACAAGAATGAAGAACTGTCACACTTTAGAAGAAACTAAGGAAACATGGCAACCAAATACAATGTGGGATCATGGGATCCTGAAGGAAAAAGGACAATAAGGAAAAAAAACTGGTGAAGTTCTTATCAAGTCTAGTTTAGTTAATAGTATTGTACTCATGTTAATTTCCTGATTTTTGATCACTGAACCATGATTATGTAAGAGAAAAATGTAGTAGGCCGGGCGCGGTGGCTCAAGCCTGTAATCCCAGCACTTTGGGAGGCCGAGATGGGTGGATCACGAGGTCAGGAGATCGAGACCATCCTGGCTAACATGGTGCACGGTGAAACCCCGTCTCTACTAAAAATACAAAAAACTAGCCGGGCGAGGTGGCGGGCGCCTGTAGTCCCAGCTACTCCGAAGGCTGAGGCAGGAGAATGGCGTAAACCCGGGAGGCGGAGCTTGCAGTGAGCTGAGATCTGGCCACTGTACCCCAGCCTGGGCGACAGAGCGAGACTCCGTCTCAAAAAAAAAAAAAGAGAAAAATGGATGAACGATATCCATGAACTGTCTGTACTGTTCTGCTTTTCTGTAAGCCTACAAAAATTATTTTGTAAAATAGGGACATAGATCATTTTCAGCAGTTTTTAACCTGGTTACTTGGATAAGCCTTGAACCTGAAACATTGCATGTAACAACTCTTTCTTGGTATTAAGCTTTTCTATTTTATAAATGCCCTTTGGATGGCTATTTCAGTAGAATTCAGTTAACGTGGAACTTTACATGAAAACTAACTTTACCTACATGAGATGGAAAAGCCAAACAGTGTATTCATGATAGACAATAAAGAATAATAGCAAAATAACTTATTTTTGTCTTCAAGTTTTTACCACTATGGCAGATATTGTGCAAAGCATTTTTCATATGTTATATTATTGAGTCTTAGAAAGATTGCTTGATATATCGATACCAGTATTTTTTTGTGGGGGGGACGGAGTTCCCCTCTTGTTGCCCAGGCTGGAGTGCAATGGCACAATCTCGGCTCATCGCAACCTGTGCCTCCTGGGTTCAAGCGTTTCTCCTGCCTCAGCCTCTCGAGTAGCTGGGATTACAGGCATGTGCCGCCATGCCCAGCTAATTTTGTATTTTTAGTAGAGATAGAGTTTCTCCATGTTGGTCAGGCCGGTCTCAGACTCAGGTAATGCGTCCACCCCCACCTCCCAAAGTGCTGGGATTACAGGCCTGAGCCACCTCGCCGGGCCCTGATACCAGTATTCTTATTTTGTGGGTGAGGAAGCTGAGGTTTAGAAAGGTAACTTACCTAAGGACAGGCATGGTGGCTTCAGGATTTGAACCTGAACAGCCCATTCTCTTAATCATGCTAATCTATAGCTCCCTCCAAATGGGAGTGGTGAGCCTATTGTGACCTATGTATCTACCAATACTGAGCAGGTCTAGAAAACTGCTGTTCATTCTTTAGCATAGTGCTGTCCAACAGAAATATAGTATGAGTCACTTGTGAAATTTTAAATTTTCTAGTGGCTGCATTAAAAAGGCAAAAAGAAACATAAAATTAAATTTTAACTCTATATTCATTTAACCTGATATAGACAAAGTATTGCAACATTTGATCAATATAAAAAGATATTTTCCTCTTTTTTTCACACAGTTTGAAATCTAGTGTGTATTACATTTATAGGCATCTCAAGTCTCACCAGCCACATTACAGGTACAGCCATTGTGACTAATAGCTACTGTATTGGATAGCACAGCCCTACAATGTGAGGTGTAAAAATTATGATGCACTGTTGGTTTTACATTCTTCCTCCTCTTTTCACAAATATTTGATAGTTGACTCCTTTGCAAGTATATGTCAGATCTAAGTTTTAATTTGGAGCCAGGCACAGTGGTGTGCATCTGTAGTCTCAGCTACTCGGGAGGCTGAGGCAGGAAGTTCATTTGAGCCTAGGAATTCGACACTGCAGTGAGCTATTATTACGCCACTGCACTCCAGCCTGGATGACAGAGACCCTGTCTCTAAAACAAAATTTATTTTAGTAATCATTTTTTAAAAATAAATTTTAATTTGGAAGTAAGAGTTATTTACAGTCTCCAAACGTGCAGTTCAAGTTCCATTGCTTATTGGAAACCTCTCATTTTTAGGACTAAGTTTGTTAAAGCCATGTGTTCTTGGACTTAATCAGCTCATAATTGGTGGCATATATCTGGGCAGCTCATGAAATCTCACCTTTTAAGTTGTCCTCAGGAATAGATGGTCCCATGTTTTTTTGTTTTGTTTTGTTTTTGGTCCCTTTTTTTGTTTGTTTGTTGTTTTGTTTTGTTTGTTTGTTTTTTGAGATGGAGTCTCATTCTGTAGCCCAGGCTGGAATGCAGTGGCACGATCCCAGCTCACTGCAACCTCTGCCTCCCAGGTTCAAGCAATTCTCTGTTTCAGCCTCCCAAGTAGCTGGGATTACAGATGCCCGCCACCATGCCCGACTAATTTTTTTGTATTTTTAGTAGAGACGGGGTTTCACCATCTTGGCCAGGCTGTTCTTGAACTCCTGACCTTGTGATCCACTGCCTTGGCCTCCCAAAGTGCTGGGATTATAAGCGTGAGCCACTGCACCCAGCCTGTTTTGTTTTTTTGAGACAGAGTTTTGCTCTTGTCTCCCAGGCTGGAGTGCAATGGTGTAATCTCAGCTCACTGCAACCTCCTCCTCCTCGGTTCAAGTGATTCTCCTGCCTCAGCCTCCCAAGAAGCTGGGATTACAGCCACGCATCACCAAGCCTGGCTAATTTTGTATCTTTAGTAGAGATGGGGTTTCACTATGTTGGCCAGGGTGGTCTCGAACTCCTGATCTCAAGTGATCCACCCACCTCGGCCTCCCAAAGTGCTGGGATTACAGAGGTGAGCCACCACGGCAGGCTCCATGTTTCAATTACCACGTTAATTGGTATTAAGAGGAAAGTATTGTCATCTTGGAAGGGAAGATGACTGGAAGGTGGTATGTGGTGACTGGAAAAAGTGTGAGCGTGTTGGAACTTCATTGTAACAAGGCATGTCCTGTAAGCCAACTTGTTTCTTTTACTTGGAGGAATCAGTCTTAGTAGTTATCAGCGCTTTTTGAAATAACAGATTAGGATTCTTTCTGAAATCTTGTTGGCATCAGGGTTAGAGCTTAGTAAATTGCTATGGCTTTCCTGGGTGCTCTTAGACTCAATAAAATTTTCTCTTTCAGAATTTGGTGTTCACTTGGCAGAACTGACTGTAGATCCCCAGGGGGCACTGGCAATCCGTCAGGTAAGTCCAGACTGGCCCAATTTATAAGTAGTTTCCTTTTCCTTGGTAATGAAACTTTCTTATGGGAAAGAATAAGAATAAGGCCGATTTATAAATAACCTAGGATGTCGTGCCAGATTTAGATAGACTTCAGATGTATCGGACCATGTATATAGTTTTTATGTGTGAAAAAAATCTTTTTCTTGCTGTACTACTTGGCTTATTCTCTTCACAGCTGGCATCAGTCATCTTGAAACAATATGTGGAGACTCACTGGTGTGCCCAATCAGAGAAATTTAGGCCTCCTGAAACTACAGAAAGGGTAAGTCAGTTACTTGATTAGTCTACCTGAGGAGATTTGAGGGTCCATTATAAGAGATTAGACTATCAACATTCTTTGACTGCATGATGCAGTCAAGACTAGGCAGAGAAGGAGATTGTTGGCTGGCATTGCGGGCATAGGGCTATACATTAAAGAGCTCAAGTATCAGGCTGGTCTGTGTTCAAATTCCAGTTTTGCTTTTTACAAGCTATGAGATTATTGGAAATGTAGTTAACGCCTAAGCCTCAATTTCCTAAATCTCCAAAATGAGAATAAAAATACCAACTAAGGGTTTAAGAATTAAATGAAATAATATTTGTACTTAGTGCAATAATGTGCAATCATCCTGAGTCCCCAAGAAATTTTGAGGTGTAAGGTCTGGAGGAATGTTTTCCATTGGAACTTTATGCAGTTATGGAAATATTCTGTGTCTGTGCTGTCTAAAACAATAGCTACTAGGTACATATGGCTATTGAGCACTTAAAATGGGGCTAGTGCAACTGAAGAACTGAATTTTAAATGTTTTAAAATTTTAATAGCCATGTGTAGCTAGTGGCTACTGTAATGGACGGCATAAGTGTAGAGATCACAGATGAACCCTCCAGATGAATTGTCAAGTTTATATATAGGAGTTTTAGAGAAGACTCCTCTCTAAAACTCCTGTATATAAACTTGACAATTCATTGCAAGTTTATGCAGTACCTTGTACTCATTGCAGTACCTTGTACTCATTGTTTTTCCAACACAGTTCCCAACTGCACTGGGCTCTGCCAGTCACTTATAACCTGATCTAATAGCAGGTGGACTTTTATCCCTTACAGGCAAAAATTGTTATCCGGGAGCTATTGCCTAATGGGTTGAGAGAATCGATAAGCAAAGTGCGCTCCAGTGTGGCCTATGCAGTGTCAGCCATTGCCCACTGGGACTGGCCTGAAGCTTGGCCCCAACTCTTCAACCTGCTCATGGAGATGTTGGTGAGCGGAGACTTAAATGCCGTCCATGGAGCCATGCGTGTGCTGACAGGTACCAGAAGCCCTTTTCCCTGGTATTGGTACTTGGATCTCAAGCGACAGGAGTATTACCAGAAGCTATGTCATATAATGGCCTGGATCAGTAGGAATTGCTACTGATGTTATTCCTCCCTCCTGTTTTTATCTCTGCATCTACCTTCCAGCTCCATTGTTTTTTTCTAGGGAGTTAAGTTTGTATAGTATTACTTCTACTGCCAAACCTACCACTTACAGATACAGTATTAGCATAGAGATTGAGTATTCAGATTTTAAATTTTTGTAGGGGCTTCACCTTGATCCTTCACTTACCTTCTTTGAGCCTGAGTTTCCTTCTGTATAAAATTAAGATGATAGTAGTATCTGCATCAAAGGAGCTTTTGGTATAGTTTAAATTAGCTAATCTATCTTTATTTGTTCAGTAAAGTTTAGTTACTATGATTATTATTACTATATATTATTTTTCCACTTAGTTCAACCACGGCAAAGTTAAGAATTGTAAAATGAATTTTTATAGAAATATTTAAAAAGAAGATAAAAACAGTATAGCCATATAATCCTGACCTTCATTTAGCCAGTTAGAGAATATGTAGTCTCAGTATCTTTTCCTTCTCTCTGTTCTGAGAAGTTGATAAAAATACTTCTACTTTTAGTTCAAAGAGATTTGATGGATATCTCTTCTAAACCTGATTAAGTTATCAATCCCTCCCAGAATCTGCTTTCATATATCCTTAGGGATGGCCTGAGTTTCCCAGTCCTTTGCAAGTTCCTCCCTGCTTCTTATTCCCTAGATGAAGTCACTACTCTGTTTTGCCTTCAAGAAATTCTTACCTGGCCTTTAGTCATCCTGTACTGATCCTTTAGAAATCATCTTTCTCCTTCGTTTATGGAGGTTTGTAGAAGTCCCACCAATATCTTCTCTTTCTCTATGACCTACTAGCTTACCTGAAATGTTTTCTTACCTAGTTGTGAATGCCAGTTCTGTTCTCTCTCAATCTCAGTTTACTGAACTTGGCACATAGGCCCAATTTTGCTAGTCCATGTGATGTTAATAGTAGATAATATCAACTCTTTGTCAAATGCAAATCTTTCTTCTCGTTTTGTTTCAAAATCACCTCTTCCCATGCCCCCAGCTGCCTTTTTGAATTACCACTATATTCGTATTGATTGCCTGTGACAAAGCTTCAGTTTTTAGCTCAGATACAGAACAGACTTACCAAAAAGATCAAAATGTTCCTTGCTCAGATTTTCACTTCCCTGCTTATTGCCCTTACTTCTCCTTTATGACTCATTCATTGTTCCAGTGATTTCACACACCCATCTCCATGAAATTGGCCTTTCAGGATTCTTTATTCACCACTTCATAGTGCCAGGATATCAATTAACAGATACATGTTCTACCAAGGAAAGGAAGCCTGTTCCCTCTCAGTCTTCCAACATGAAATTCAGCTTCTTTTGACAAACCTGGAGAGAAAGGTGTTTGTACATTTATCTTGATTTGGATGCTGAAGAGCCCTTATTGTGTTTGACTAAGGAAATTACTGTTCAGTGAGATCACTTTTCTGCCAGCCACAGGGAAAGAACTCTTGGGGAAATTTGTCTCCTTTTGTAATGGAGTCACCAGACATGAAATGGCTGGCAGCCAACCCCATTCCCAAATACTTGCTCCAAATATTTTCAAACGAGGGTAGACTGTACTCTGACAACAAAAACTTAGGCATGCATGAAGATAGCAGGACATGGCGGTTGGACAGAGGCCCATTAGGAGAATGGGACTGATTCTCTTCAGAGTTTTTCAAGATACTATACCAGTTTCCCTTTAATGAGGCTTCCTATTAAACTTATCTATTTATAGATGAGAACCAACTAAGGCTCATGGTGTAAAGGAAATGTAAACATAGCAGCTAAGGATTAGAAGATTTGATCCACCAGATACAGCTTTTTCTTTATTCTCAAAGAAATTTGGAGATTGAGGTGTTGCTGGAGTCCTAGAATTTTTCTGACTTGCTGAATCACCTCAGAAAACTTTTGGAATTAAACCTATAAAGTATTAATAAATTGATACCAGGGATGAGTATAGGAGAGTAAAAAGCAGTTAAGCATTTTATTAGCGGAATTAAATTATACTATATTTTTCATAAAAACTTGTTATGCCATCTGTCATGTTTGTTTGAACTAATTTCCTTGGATTTCTAAATAAAATAGAACACTCACTTACCATTCAAAGCTCATACTTTATTCTTGAGGAGGAAATTACAGCTGTAAAGAAAATTCAACCTTGAGTATTTGGTCTCCATTTGACTCATGGGGATTGATACTGCTCAAAATTGTGGAGTACCTTAACCTTGAAAATGCCAACTTGCATTTCTAGCTGTGTATCTTTTCCCAAAATGTTCCAAGTGGTTAGCTTTATTTTTATTTTTTTTTATTTATTTATTTGAGACGTGATCTTACTCTGTCACCCAGGCTCAGGTATAGTGGCACTGTTGTAGCTTACTGTAACCTTGACTTCCTAGGCTCAAGTGAGCCTCCTACCTCAGCATCCTAAGTAGCTGGCACTACAGACACATGCCACCACACGCAGCATTTTGTTTTTTTTGTTTGTTTTTTTAATGTAGTGGCAGATCTTGCTATGTTCAGGCTGGTCTTGAACTCCTGACCTCAAGTGATCCTCCTGCCTCAGCCTCCCAAAGCTCTGGGATTACAGGCATAAGCCGCTGTGCCCAGCGCCTATGTCCATTTTTATAGTGATAACGTGGAAAAGCATCAGGTAAAGTGAATAGTTATTGGAACTCAAGGGCTTTTATTCTGCTGCTTTGTAACATGAATCCAGGGGTCCTTTGTGCTGTCTCAGTACCTTGTGTGTGGTGTATTTATGTTTTTGTTTTTGTTTTTTTTTGAAGAAGTGAAGGGAAAGATACGACCCATATTTCCATCACCTTCGAGTCTCATTCTGTGTATAGGTTGCTTTTTGCCACATTTATGTAGAAAATTCCTATTTGTTCCAGTTAGCAGCAGCCTCTGACTTTTAGGTCAATAAATATCATCTACTGAGAAGAGTAACATATACAAAGAGGAGTTGAGGCCTAGTAAGTCTGTACATATTTTATTAAGTGCATCAAACTAGCTTGCCAAGTGAAAGTACTGAAAATAGAACGAAAGGTAAGAAACCTCGAAGTGTAACTGAATGTTGACAGATGAGCACAAGGTAAATTAATACAGAATTTTCCCAAGTTGACCTCACAAGGACATTTATGCAGTTCTATTACAGATTTTCTTTCAGTATTTATATTAAAGTTTTCTTTTTTAATTGCTTATATTTTTCTCTATTTCCATGTTATTCTTTCTCCTTCTAACAAATAATCAGTAACTCTTGCTACTTTTGCTTTCACAGAATGAGACCACCAGGCCAGTGTCTTTACCTGTGTGCTGTCTGTTTGGGAACTGCCACCTAGAAGCAGTTCAGAAAATATCAACCTTAATATCTTTATGAAGCAGTATTTTTTTTTAAACAGTATTACTTTTTTCTCTGTAGAATTCACTCGAGAAGTGACAGACACACAGATGCCACTTGTTGCTCCTGTCATTCTCCCAGAGATGTATAAGATCTTCACCATGGCTGAGGTATGAAATCTCAGCTCCAAGATTATAGTGAGTTCAGGCTGTCTTCAGCCCCCAGCCTTTCAGATGGGAGATTATGGTGTTTGCAACTGATCTCAATACCTAAAGACTAGAACTGACAAAGATCTGGATCTGAATCTGCGTTAACCTTAGACCTTTCACTCAACTACAAGGGCCAGCCTTTGATAAAAGAGTGAGATAGCTGAAATATTTCTTCACATATCGTACTTCCTGGCATCCAGTAGCCCCTAGGTAGATAAGTAGTGCCTTCCTTCATGCTACTTCCAGCCTCAGTTTATTGAGTTATCCCACCTAAGCTTGCCTACCTCAGCTAAGTAATTGGAAGCAATCTATCACTGCATTGCCCATAATAGACCCTTAATATATTGCATATATATTTGATTAGAGTGTATATGAATGATAACTCATTTACAATAAGATGTAAATACCTGATGGATAATGTAACTTCCCTATTCACCTGTGCCCCCAACCAATAGTCTGCATTTTAAAGGAAATATATTGGCTGTGTTGGGATTTTAAGCACTACCCAGCCTGGTATTTTTTAATCAAATGAACCCACAGAGGCCCATGTATAAGGTTCATTCCAATAAGTTCCAACATTATGATTCTGCTACCTTTCATTCTCTGAATTACAGAAGTCTGCCTCCTGTAAATGTAAATGAGTTACATTTCCCATTTCTCGAGGGCATCCAATCTCATGTAAGGATTCATTAGTCATAGTTTTACTTCTAGTCCAAGATACACACATACCTACACATTCCAATGTCGTGGCTGTGCTATTATGCTGTAACCTTTTTTCCAGGTATATGGTATTCGAACCCGTTCCCGAGCTGTGGAAATATTTACCACTTGTGCCCATATGATCTGTAACATGGAGGAGCTGGAAAAGGTAAGCAGGTCTTTGGATCAATAACAGACTTCATGCTTACAAGTTTTATTCATGCAGAGCAGTGAGTCATTTCATGATAGCAGCACCAAAAAGCACACTAACCAGTATTAGAGATAGATTTAACATTTTTATTAAATTATTATTATTGTTATTTTTCCAGACAGGGTCTTGTTCTGTCACCCAGGCTGGAGTACAGTGGTGCAATCATGGCTCACTGCAGCCTTGAACTCCTGGGCTTAAGTGATCCCCTGACCTCAGCACCCCCGAACCCCAGTAGGAACTACAGGTGTGGTGTGCACCACCACACTTGGCTGATTTTATTTTGTAAATTTTTGTAGAGATAGGGTCTCACTATATTGCCCAGGCTGGTCTTAAACTTCTGGGCTCAAGCAATCTTCCTGCCTCAGCCTCCCATAGTGCTGGGATTATAAGCATGAATCACAGCTCCCAGCTGTATTTTTATTTTTTTATTTATTTGGATTTTTTTGAGACAAGATCTTGCTCTGTCACCCAGGCTGGAATGCAGTGGCATGATCATAGCTCACTGCAGCCTCAACCTCACAGGTTCAAGCAATCCTCTCATCTCAGCCTCCCAAGTTGCTGAGACCACCAGCATGTGCCACCACTCCCGGCGAATGAATGAATGAATGAATTTATTTAGAGATGGAGTCTCACTCTGTTGCTAGGCTGGAGTGCAATGGTGCGATCTCAGCTCACTGCAACGTGAACCTCCACCTCCCAGGTTCAAGCGATTCTTCTGCCTCAGACTCCGAGTAGCTGGGACTATAGGCACGCCCCATCATGCCCAGCTAATTTTTGTATTTTTAGTAGAGACAGGGTTTCACCATGTTGGCCAGGATGGTCTCGATATCTTGACCTCATGATCCGCCCACCTCGGCCTCCCAAAGTGCTGGGATTACAGGCATGAGCCACTGTGCCCAGCCTAATTAATTTATTTTTGTAGAGACGGGGTCTCTCCCTATGTTGCCTAGGCTCATCTTGAACTCCTAGGCTCAAGTGATCCTCCCACCTTGGCCTCCCAAAGTGCTAGGACTACAGGTGTGAGTCGCCACACCTGGCCTGATTGAATTTTCAACTTGTAAAAAGCTTAGTCTTCTTTTGGGTCTTACTTCTTCAAACACCTTATCCTATATCCTTTTCATAGTAGTCATCACTCAGAACTTTCCTACTCTTTTATGGCCCTCTTGCGTGAAGCAAAGCTAGCTGAAAAATACCAATCCCTGTGATTCAGAAGCAGTTAGGAGGAAAGTTGGTCTTACATAATAGTTTTTAAGAGGGCTTTGATGAAGAACTGCAAGCGCTGGTTAAGGAAACATGAAATCTTAGGTAACACCTTCATTGACTTTATAACTATTCTCTTCTGATCGGGCTTGGAGCTTGAAGAGAGCTTTAGGTGCCTTTCACATATCAGTGTTTGATATATATGTGTTGAAGCCATGGATTAGGGATTTATCCAGCATTGACTTTGGTTTCTGTTATCAGGGTGCAGCCAAAGTCCTGATCTTTCCCGTGGTGCAGCAGTTCACAGAGGCCTTTGTTCAGGCCCTCCAGATACCAGATGGCCCCACATCTGACAGTGGGTTTAAGATGGAGGTCCTAAAGGTAAACACTTACTACCAATGAAATATTTGGTGTTTGAGGGGGTGGTCTGAAATCATTTATTTCCTATATATCACTCATAACTTGAGTCCTTTTCTCTTAACTTCTTAGGCAGTGACAGCCCTAGTGAAAAACTTCCCAAAGCACATGGTGTCCTCCATGCAGCAGATTCTGCCTATTGTTTGGAACACCCTAACCGAGAGTGCAGCTTTATATCCTTTCTTGAAAGTTTAAGGGAGCTACTACCACCTATAGTTAGGAATCTCGCGTTGGGTCTCACATTCATATGGTTCCACTCTTCTTACACAGGCTTTTTTAAGGTGTCTACTTTTAGTGTTGGAATATGTAACGTTTCCTTGTAGATTATATGTAAAGCAGACTCCAAATTCTGTTTCTTTACTCTTCATCATACTTATGTGAGGACAGAAGTAAATTACACAGAAGAAGTAGAAGATCCTGTGGATTCTGATGGTATGTAGTTTATTTGATCTTTATAGAAATACCAGTTAGTGGGAAAAAGAAAAAGAAGCCAGAGACGGGGGGCATAAAAAACAATAACTTGAGAGGCTTCACTCTATTAAGTGTTTTCTAACTGAGTTTATTTTCAATGTATTAGATGTGGGGAAATGAGAATTGACAATCTTTAATCTGTTCCTGATAGGTAGTTGCATAAATCTCATAAAATCATAGAATTTCTGCGTTGGAAGAGATACTTTTGAGGCCATTTAATCTAGCCTACTTCTGGCATTTTGTTGTGTTTCATTTTGGGGTCCCAGATAATGAGTCTTTCATTTCTGTTTTAATATTTCTAATTATTTCAGATTAGAACAATAGACATACTGGAAAATATATCCAGTTTTTCTGATTCTTTTACTTGAAAAACCAAAGAATATTTAATATCCTCAAAATTACGTTTTGTGACTTCTGAGCCCTCTCTCCCAATTCCTCAGGAATAATCATTAGCAAGTGCTTGAAATATTCAACAATTTACAAAGATTATGTAGTTCATTTTCAGCATGTGTGCTTTCCTTTTGCTTTCTTGTCATTAATTTCTTCTCTTGTGCATTTCCTGCAGGTGAAGTCCTGGGCTTTGAAAATCTCGTCTTTAGCATTTTTGAATTTGTCCATGCTCTACTAGAAAATAGCAAATTCAAAAGCACTGTTAAGAAAGCCTTGCCTGAATTGATTTATTATATTATCCTGTACATGCAAATCACTGAGGAGCAGGTAAATAATATTTGAGAGACAGTTACCATCTTGTATTTGCAAAGTGCAACTTAAAGAATGTGAGGTCTTGGTCAAGTGAACACTTTATTTCTAAAAGTAGACACAAGAAGAATAATGAAGAATAATTTCTTTTTTTTCAAGAAGGAGTTTCGCTGTTGTTGCCCAGGCTGGAGTGCGGTGGCATGATCTTGGCTCACTGCAGCCACCACCTCCCAGGTTCAAGCGATTCTCCTGCCTCAGCCTCCCGAGTGGCTGGGATTACAGGCATGTGCCACCATGCCCGGCTAATTTTGTATTTTTAGTAGAGACAGGGTTTCTCCATGTTAGTTAGACTGGTCTCAAACTCCCCGCCTCAGGTGATCCACCCGTCTCGGCCTCCCAAAAATGTTGGGATTACAGGCGTGAGCCACCGTGCCCGGCCCCAAGAAGAATAATTTCATGTGAAGTTCTGGGAAAGGTTTGACATCATTTTATTGCCAAATCCAAAGTTTTGGAGTTCACCACCACACCTGGCTAATTTTTTTTTTTTTTTTTTTTTTTGCAGAAAAGTACTATACTGTGTTGCCCAGGCTAGTAGTCTCTTAACTCCTAGGCTCAAGCAATCTGCCCACCTTGGCCTCTCAAAGTGCTGTGATTACAGGCACGAGCCACTGTGCCTGGCCCACTTTTGCCATTAGAAAATCTCACAGGACCACTAACCTAAGACCCTGATTTTTAGGAGAATCTGTTCCTTCCCTATAGTAAAATGTAATGATCAGACCGTTAGCCTGATGGTGGGTCATCAAAACCAGCAAAGAACGTTGAAAAATTAGGTAATGCCTCGTTTAAAACAGCACAAGAATTGACATAATTTTCACAGTAAATAGTCCATCAGACTTAATCTGTTCAGAAAATCGATCTGTCAAAGAGTGACAGCTGGTTGACATTGGCAGGGAGCTAGTAATCAGCCAGATTCTAAAAGAGAGCAATAGCCATTGCTACCTACCTTGCTACTTGATAGTATTTGTTTCTCTACATCAAAAAGAAAAGATTTTTGAAGCTAGAGTTTTTGTTTCGGTTTTTGTTGTTGTTGTTTTGTTTGTTTGTTTTGGGACAGGGTCTTGCCGTGTTGCTCAGGCTGGAGTGCAGTGGTGTAGACACAGCTCATGGCAGCCTTGACCTCCCAGGCTCAAGCCATCCTCCTGCCTCAGCCTCCTGAGTAGCTGGGACCACAAGCATATGCCACCATGCCCAGTTGACTTTTTTATTTTTTTGTAGAGGCGGGTTCTCACCATGTTGCCCAGGCTGGTCTCAAACTCCTGGGCTCAAGCAATTCTCCCACCTTGGCCTCCCAAAGTGTCAGGATTACAGTTGTGAGCCATTGTATCCAGCAAAAGGCTAGAGTTTTGTTCAGGATAATAGCTTGAAATCTTCCTGTATCTGTTGATGAAAAGCTATGAATCAGTTCGGCAGCATCACAAAGATATAATTTGATCTTTTCAGATTAAAGTATGGACAGCCAACCCCCAACAGTTTGTAGAAGATGAAGATGATGATACATTCTCCTATACTGTTAGAATAGCAGCTCAAGACTTGTTGCTGGTAAGTTTACCTTGATACTTCAACCACATAATTTTAATCAGTCACTTGAGCTTTTCTTTTTTCTAGACAATCCAAGGTGAGCAGTGTTGTTGGGTGACTTTATCTCAGACTTTATTGGGGATGCAAGAGAGTTTCTGAAATGAAGTTTGAGACTCAGAAATTCTAAAATGATTGCTATTGGTTCTAACTTACAACTAAATACTAGATATAAGAATTGTGTAGACCATAGGGCCAGGGTGCGGGGGAGAATTGTATAGAGGATTAAGTGTTCCATGGAATAAGGGTAGTTGAATCAAGAACATTTCAGTTTATGGCAGGCATGGTGTCTTACACTTGTAATCCCAGCACTTGGGGAGGCCGAGGCAGGCAGATCACCTGAGGTCAGGAGTTCGAGACTAGCCTGACTAACATAGAAAAATCCCATCTCTACTAAAAATACAATTTAACTGGGCTTGGTGGTGCATGCCTATAATCCCAGCTACTCAGGAGACTGAGGCAGGAGAATTGCTTGAACCCGGGAAGCGGAGGTTGTGGTGAGCCAAGATCACACCATTGCACTCCAGCCTGGGCAACAAGAGTGAAACTCAGTCTCAAAAAAAAAACATTTCAGTTTAATTCACTCTTCAACAAGAATCTGTAGCACAGACCAAAGGTTGGCAAACCTAACAAAACAAAACAGATTGCTGAAATATGAACATCCAAATACCTGCTTATATTTTCTTTGCCTCTTCGAACTAGAGCATAGAGTTGTCTCTAGGCTGAAATACTAAGAAGAAACTATCACTTACTTCTTGTTGGGTAGGAGATTTGTTCTCTGTTGATGAATCACTTCTCATTATCATTTAGTATTTCTAAGGAGCTATGAAAGATTATATTCAGTTCCAATTAGTAGATTAGACTTATTTTTCTATGATCAGGCTCCAGGAGAGCAAATATTTGGTCCATTGTCATCCAAAGCTACATCTATTATTGCTCATTTATACTCTGCTGGAATATAGCCAAAGAAGCCAACTGGTTAGTCTTTTTTTTTTTTGAGACGGAGTCTCACTCTGTTGCCCAGACTGGAGTGCAGTGGCTGGATCTCAGCTCACTGCAAGCTCCGCCTCTTGGGTTCACGCCATTCTCCTGCCTCAGCCTCCCGAGTAGCTGGGACTACAGGCGCCCGCCACCTCGCCCGGTTAGTTTTTTTGTATTTTTTTAGTAGAGACGGGGTTTCACTGTGTTAGCCAGGATGGTCTCGATCTCCTGACCTCGTGATCCGCCCATCTCGGCCTCCCAAAGTGCTGGGATTACAGGCTTGAGCCACCGTGCCCGGCCCAACTGGTTAGTCTTACAATGCCTAGGCACTACAGAATACAGATATTACTTGAATTTCATTAGAGACCCTGACCTACTGGTATAACATTTTAAATACAATTAATTGGGGTTTGCACATGTATGTAAAAGAGCTTGAACCAATCACTTCTAACAGTCATGACTAAAGCAATTTACAAATAAAATGCATTTAATGGGCACAAACAGATTTATTAGCTCTTCTCTCTCCGTAGGCTGTGGCCACAGATTTCCAGAATGAAAGTGCAGCAGCCCTGGCTGCTGCAGCTACTCGACATTTACAAGAAGCCGAGCAAACCAAAAACAGTGGCACTGAGCACTGGTAAGAGTGAGCCACTAGTTAGTTAAGATGCTTTTGTTTACCCCTTCTTAAAAAGTCTTGAAAGGATGGATTTATTTTTATCTTAATTTGAAAATCTGGTTTTAATTTAATAACAGATTTAATCTCTTATTAAAATTTTACTCTGTTTTCAGCTGTAGGTTAGAATGGAAGGGCTTAAGATAAATGACTCTTTTGGAAGAGATTGTGCTGGAGTGCCCTTTTCTGAGTCTTCTTTCCTCAAATATTTATCTTTTTTGGCAGTGTAGTATGTTTTACTAGGCTGTAGTATCCTTTCACAGGTGGAAGATCCATGAGGCATGCATGCTTGCCCTAGGCTCAGTGAAGGCCATCATCACTGACAGTGTGAAAAATGGCAGGATTCATTTTGACATGCATGGGTTCCTGACCAATGTCATCCTTGCAGACCTCAACCTCTCAGGTATGTTTCAGCACATGCCAGGATGCTAGAAGCTTTTTAGACCTGTCATTAACTTGGTTATATTGTTCACTTATACTGGTAGGCCAGATATTCTTGTGTCCTTTGGGTGAAAATTGTTTGCACCCTACAGCTTGAACTCATCCAAACCTCTAAAACAGCCCAGAGACCTTGACTTAAGCTTCACCTAATAACAATCTAATATTGCCTAGTTCATAATTCTTCCATGATGTTTATGTTTCTTCCCAAATTGGCATTCCCATTTGTGGTTGTTTTTGGCATTTGAATGGATTGCAAATCTGGTGCTGTATCTTCAGAATTATCGAGTTCTGCTCCCATTGTTGAAGCATTCTGTATCAGGCACATTCTTCCTGTTTGTTTCCTGTCATTTTTCTCAAACTTTATTTTTGGCCAATATCCAAATAATTAAAGTGTTCCATTCTCATTCCATGTTAGCTGTCTGTCTTAAAAAGAAAAAAGTAGGCGAGGTGTGATGGCTCATGCCTCTAATCCCAGCACTTTGGGAGGTTGAGGCAGATGACTCACCTGAGGTCAGGAGTTCAAGACCAGCGTGGCCAACTTGGCGAAACCCCAACTCTACTAAAAATATAAAAAGTAGCCAGGTGTGGTAGCGGGAGGCTGTAATCTCAGCTACTCAAGAGGCTAAGGCAGGAGACTCACTTGAACCCAGGAGGCGGAGGTTGCAGTGAAATGAGATCATACCACTGTATTCCACCCTGGGTGACAGATCAAGACTCAGTTAAAAAAAAAAAAAAAAAAAGTAGCCCTTTAATATTAGACCGATTTCTTCCACAATACAGAGCAGTAGCTAAGAATCATTGTCTGTGTGGCATTTTCTGCTACTTGCTTCTGCCATGCCATGCCTTTTCTCATCCTTGGAGCCAGATCCCCATCCCAAAACACTACCTTTGCTTTCTCTCTCAGTACCTAAATCATAGAATGTTTGGTATTGTTTGCTCCGTTTTCAGTCCATTTACTTCCTCTCCATAGGATAGTTCTGGGAGTAGCTTACGTCATTTGAAAATGTTCTGCTCTGTGATTTTAAATAGGTAATCTATTATCGGGTATCTCACTCCATCACTTCCATTCTCTGAATCACAAATTAAAATGGTTGTACATCCAGAGCTCAGATCCATTGGGAATATCCTGTTTCACTCTGTACTTGTCATATGCTGCATTGTTGAATATGTTTTCTTACTCCTACTAGTAAGGTCTCTGAGAATAGAAGTCATGTCTAATGTTTTGTATCCTACAAGTGCCTTGAGTAGGCATCCCATAATTACATTGAAAGATTTCTGAAGCCCATTAACACATTTCTTGTAGAGTTTACCCTAGCAAAGATTTTTCAAAGACTTTGGAAATTTTAGAATATTTGTCATTTAGACTGGAAAAAGGCTCAGTATATATCATTTGTTAATCCTGCCTATAGCTAAAACCTTTTCTACTCCAACCATTCTGAAACTTTCTGGTTACAAATTATCAACAATTTAAAAGACATTTTTATGTGGCTTTGATTTATTAATATTTACTATACTAAAAATTAAAAGATGTTTTTAAAATAAAAGAAATGGAAACATGTATTCCACTGGCTGTCAGAGCCATGAATATCACATATCACATAACCTCTGCAAAACTACACTACTGTATACTTGTGAAAGAATGAAAGTGGCTGGTCGTGGTGGCTCATGCCTGTAATCCCAGCACTTTGGGAGGCTGAGGTGGGCGGATCACGAGGTCAGGAGATCGAGACCATCCTGGCTAACACGGTGAAACCCCATCACTACTAAAAATACAAAAAAAAAATTAGCCGGGCGTGGTGGTGGGTGCCTGTAGTCCCAGCTACTCGGGAGGCTGAGGCAGGAGAATGGCATGAACCCGGGAGGCGGAGCTTGTAGTGAGTCGAGATCACGCCACTGCACTCCAGCCTGGGCAACAGAGCAAGACTTCGTCTCAAAAAAATAAATTAAAAAAAAAAAAAAAAAAAATGAAAGCGAGGCTGGGCTTGGTGGCTCATGCCTGTAACTCCAGCACTTTGGGAGGCTGAGGTGGACAGATCATGAGGTCAGGAATTCAAGACCAGCCTGGCTAACATGGTGTAACCCCATCTCTACTGAGAAATACAAAAATTAGGTGGGCATGGTGGCACACATCTGTAATCCCAGCTACTCATGAGGCTGAAGTAGGAGAATTGCTTGAATCCAGGAGGCGGAGGTTGCAGTGAGCCAAGATCGTGCTACTGCACTCCAGCCTGGGCAACAGAGCGAGACTCCATCTCAAAAAGAAAGAAAGAATGAAGGTGAAAAAACTAATGTCTCTGTATTACTTTGAAAATAGTTTTAACTTTAGGGAATTTCTGGACCATCCTTTTGGGAACTGCTTCTGTACATTATATAAAGTTATAAACAGTTTCTCACAGTGATTGGACTTACGATTTTTCAACTTTACAGTGATGCCAAAGCCATATGCATTTAGTAGAAATCATACTTCAAGTACCCTTACAACCATTCTGTTTTCACTTTCAGTACAGTATTCAATACATTATATGAGATATTCAACACTTTATTATAAAATAGGCTTTGTGTTAGATGAGTTTGCCCAACTTTACACTAATGTAAGTGTCCTGAGCATGTTTAAGGTAGGCTCAGTTAAGCTGTGATGTTCAGTATTAAATTTAAGTGCATTTTTAACTTGCAGTATTTTCAACTTACGATGGGTTTATTAGGAAGTAACCCCATCATAAGCAGAGGAGCATCTGTATTGTATAATTGTTTGGCACAGTTTATTAGGTTCTGTTCAATGTTTTCTGTCAACAGGATGTTTATTGTGTGAGTAACCAAGTTAAGCCCTGTGACAAGCTGAATAAGAATAGTCTCTCCTCAGCAGCTTATAGTAAACAAGGGTAGTAATCCTTAAATTAGTGGCTAGACTATCAAACAATATATATAACATGTAAGAACACTAAAGACAGAATTACTGTGGCACAGAGATAGTTAGGATTGCTTCAGCCTAAGAGATGAATAAATAAGTAATGCAAGGAGGTGAATATGTTGGCTTGCAATATGAACAAGGCAGAGAGCTGGGAGAGTAAGATGTAAGTTGCTAAGGAGGGATGTGTACTTGAGTTTGGAAACCATAAAGGGAAATCATAGGTAATGCTAGAGTCACTGATCTTAGGGAGCCTTGAATAACATGATGACTAGGGTAATCTTTATTTGGTGGACTATGGAATTCATTGACAGATTTTAAATAGAAGAATGACATGATCAGAGCTATAATTAAAGTTTTAAGAGTGGTCCAAGGCCGCGCGCGGTGGCTCATACCTGTAATCCCAGCACTTTGGGAGGCCGAGGCGGGTAGATCACTTGAGGTCAGGAGTTCGAGACCAGCGTGACCAACATGGTGAAACCCCGTTTCTACTAAAAATACAAAAAGTAGCCAGGCGTGGTGGCATGCACCTGTAATCCCAGCTACTCAGGAGGCTGAGGCAGGAGAATCGCTTGAACCTGGGAGGCAGAGGTTACAGTGAGCTGAGATGGTGCCACTATACTCCAGCCTGGGTGACAGAGCGAGACTCCATCTCAAGAAAAAATGAAAAAAAGAGTGGTCCAAAAGTGGGAATAAACAACAATGGAGATGGCATTTAGAAGATTAAGTGGGCTGGGCGCCATGGCTCAGGCCTGTAATCCCAGCACTTTTGGAGGCCGAGGCAGGTAGATCACCTAAGGTCGGGAATTCGAGACCAGCCTGACCAACATGGAGAAACCCCATCTCTACTAAAAATACAAAATTAGCTGGGCATGGTGGCAGGTGCCTGTGATCCCAGCTATTCAGGAGGCTGAGGCAGGAGAATTGCTTGAACCTGGGGGGACAGAGGTTGCAATGAGCCAAGATTGCGCCATTGCACTCCAGCCTGGGTGACAGAGTGAGACTCCATCTCAAAAAAAAAAAAAAAAAAAAAAAAATTTTGGAATGAATGTGGGAAAGAGAAAGGACAAGTAATAGGAATTTTCATTTTCCAGCCCCTAATTGCTCTGTCTTTCTCCCAGTGTCTCCTTTCCTCTTGGGCCGGGCACTTTGGGCTGCCAGTCGATTCACTGTTGCTATGTCCCCTGAACTGATCCAGCAGTTCCTACAGGCAACAGTTAGTGGTCTTCACGAGACACAGCCCCCGTCAGTTCGAATTTCTGCAGTGAGAGCCATCTGGGGGTGAGTATGCTACCCTAGGGTGATAACTATCTTAAGGGAAAGTTGCTCAGGTTAGATATACCAAATCACAGTTTTCCAATGAATTATGTTGCTTGGAAATCCCTGCTAATGATCTCCTTCAGGGTGAATGTTGGAAGGACAGGGAAAGAAACCATGCTAGGGACATGGATTTTATGAGTCCAGAAGATGTCCTGTTTCTTTCTGCTCCTCTTCCTCTTTAAATTCACTCCAGTTCTGGAATCATCTAGGCAACTCCCTTTCTCTTAATGCTAAAGAACCTGAGGCTTGGAGAGAAAAATGTTTTGCACAGGGTTGCACAATTGATGAATGATAGAGGCAGGATTAGAGTCCACATCGTTTTGTTGGTTGATTATATTCATATTAGAAACCAAATCTGGGATAATGTGACCTAGAAACACTGCTTATTTTTTCCCAGTTTTACTGTCTTTTTTAAGGCTAGTGTTACTAATGGATCAAAAGTCATTTATTTATATTCCTACACAGACTAGAAGGACCATTGTTTTAAGGAATATTTTAGTCTCAAACTTAAACATCTCAACTGAATCCTAAAACTACCAACACAAAATTTATTTTCCATGTGCCTGCCCTGTCATACCTTTTAAGGCAGAGGAGTACCTTTTGAGATGCCGTGTTATGTGTCATTAGAAAGCATTCATGAACTGTTTTAATTAAATGCTTTAAACTGTTTTAATTAAAAGCATTCATGCCTGTTTTAATTAAATGCTTAATGTTATGACCATAAACAGAGTCCCATCTTTTTCTACTTCAATCTAGGTGAAGCAGAACTTTGGCTCTAAAATAATTAGAAGTATTATCTTAAGAGGCAAACTAAGTATAGCATTTCAGAAAGCTCTAAGACCATTGTAAAAGTCTGAGAAGAGAGAGCCCTGGCTGCCTAAGTCATGAATATTATTTTAAGGGTTTTTCTGAGTGTGTACCTGTGGTCACTGCCTGTATAGCTTCTGACCTTTGTGAAACTTGATTTCATTGGAGAATTGTCCACTTTGTGTTGTAATTTTATGGAAATGTTTGCAGCTGCAAGCTGTGAGAGGAGTTTGGTATGAATGTGAAAGTACTTTGGGTAAAATAAACCCATTACTTTCCAGAGTGTTTTAGGTAGACGGAAGTACCTATCAGGCATACTTATCAACCTTGATTCTCTCTGGGGGAGATTAGAGTACAAAGAACTTTCATTCTCTGTTATATATATAAAACATTTTGTTTGTTTCAACAAGTTTATATTACTTTTATAATCAGAAGAACTGTGAAGAAAACTTTTATTTTTAATGTTCATATCTCTTGGACCACATGGGTAGTGGTTTAGTGGTTTTCTTGAGAGATGTAACAGGTCTCTCTGAAGGATGACAAAAGCTATGGATATTCAGACCAGAGAAATGGACACTCATATATGTTTAGAAAATTTTATGTTCATTGTCAAACACTGAATTCCTTGAAGCCTATCTGTGGATCCCGGTTAAGACCTGTCCTATGAATGGATCGTTAGCTATCTTTCAATAAAGAGTTTCCATTTGGTCATTTCCTATTTAGTTTACCAGCCAATTGCAGACTGGCTTATGTCCCTGTCACGTTATTGGAACTGTTTTTCTTTTCTTTTTCTTTTTCCTTTTTTTTTTCTTTTTTTCTTTTTTTTTTTTTTTTTTTTTTTGAGACAGTTATCTCTTGTTGCCCAGGCTGGAGTGCAATGGCACGATCTCAGCTCAAAGCAACCTCCGCCTCCTGGGTTCAAGCAATTCTGCTTCAGCCTCCCCAGCAGCTGGGATTACAGGCATATGCCGCCACACCTGGCTAATTTTGTATTTTTAGTAGAGATGGGGTTTCTCCATGTTGGTCAGGCTGGTCTCAACTCCCGACCTCAGGTGATCCGCCCACTCCCACCTTCCAAAGTGCTGGGATTACAGACGTGAGCCACTGCGCCCGGCCTGCAGCTGTCTTTTCTAATGTCACTAGTAACCTTTTAATGATAAGCATTCCACCGTTGCTTTTCTTTTTTTCCTTAGCCCCAGTTTTAATTTATTCCTTCATGTCATAGTTTATGTATCATTGCAAACTCCCTTAAATAATCTCTGAAACAAGATACTTATTGACAAATAATTATACTTGTTTCACATTTTTTAACTCAAATGTATGTCAAACTTTCTCCTGAGCTACAAACTAATGTATTCATTGCTTACTATCCATACCAGGATAGATATCTTACAAGTACCTGAAAATCAACACATTTACTACTGAGCTTGTTATCACCTTCAGGCCTGTCCTACCAGTATTTTCCTTTTTATTAAAGGTAGAAATCTTGTAACTTTAGATCTTGAACTTAAACATCTTGTATTCCCTGTTTTAATGAAGGTAGAGATCTCAGATATTTGCCTTTTAGATCTTGGTTCCTTGGCCTCTCATCTCTTCCTTCCAGTCTTCCCTTGCTACTACCCTGATTGTGCTATTTCTCTTCCTTGAATTACTGCAGCAGCTTCCTGATTGATCTTCTGCAGCCTCACACTTCTGCAGACCATATTATTTGAGCTGTCAAGTTGATCTTTCTAAAATAGAAAACTGATTTTCTTGCTCCTGCTGTTAAAATCATTCATGACGGCCAGGCGCAGTGGCTCACGCCTATAATCCCAGCACTTTGGGAGGCCGAGGCGGGTAGATCACAAGGTCAGGAGATCAAAACCATCATGGCCAACATGGTGAAACCCCATCTCTACTGAAAATACAAAAAAAAATTAGCTGGATGTGGTGGTGCATGCCTGTAGTCCCAGCTATTCAGGAGGCTGAGGCAGGAGAATCACTTGAACCCAGGAGCTGGAGGTTGCAGTGAGCCGAGATCATGGCACTGCACTCTAGCCTGGCAGCAGAGCGAGACTCCATCTCAAAAAAAAAAAAATCATTCGTGGCTCCCAGTTATTCTCTTCAAACTTGAGATAGAGGTACTTCAGAAGAAAGTCGTATTATATCAGGCAGTATAGGAAGCCACGGATAAATATATAATATTTTCCTGGGACATCAGTTTCCCCTGGAGACTTTAGGGTAAAGAGATTAGGTGTTAGGAGTAACACAAGTTAAAGAAACACCAACTTCCAAAATAAAGTTCAACCTCCTTTAGCATGGCATACAAGATCCAGTATGATGTAGACAGATGATGCAAACTCTATGTTTTACCATACTGTATAGTTTCAAGTTCATTAGAGGGGCAAAGTAACTATAAACCCTTAGAATAGAAGTGGGAAATGGAGGGAGGGAGAGGACAGATAAATGCTGGTCGAGGGATGGATCCAAAAGCTAGTCTAAGGAGTTGAGAACTGACCAAAGCCAGGTTCCACATCAGCTCTTTAGAAGTTTGGTCAGAGCAGGGTAGTATTGGAATCAAACATTATGAACCAAAAATCAAAAAGTCTGTGGACAGATCTGAGATTAAAGCCCACAGTTTCACTGGTCATTGTGGACCTTGGAAAGCCAACACAAATAATACGGTTATAAGACATTTAAAATAAAACATTTAAGTTAAGAAAAAAACATTTATTGGCTGGGTACAGTGCTCACGCCTGTAATCTCAGCACTTTGGTAGGCCAAGGCAGGCAGATCACCTGAGGTCAGGAGTTCAAGACCACCCTGGCCAACATAGTGAAACCCAATCTCTACGAAAAATGCAAAAATTAGCTGGGCGTGGTGGCGGGTGCCTGTATTCCCAGTATTCCCAGCTACTCGGGAGGCTGAGGCAGGAGAGTTGCTTGAACCTGGGAGGCGGAGGTTGCAGGTAGCCGAGATCATGCCACTACATTCCAGCCTGGGGAACAGAGTGAGATTCCATCTCAAAAAGGAAAGAAAGAAAGAAGAACCACTTACTGAGTACTGCTAAGTGCCTTGTTTCTATATTAGGTTCTTTTAACATAGAGAAACAATGTTTTATTGCCTTGTAACTTATTGCCATTCTAAAGATAAACAAAAGTAAAGATTTAGATAATTTTTGTTGTTGTGGTTTTGTTTTTGTTTGAGACAGTCTCGCTCTTGTCACCCAGGCTGGAGTGCAGTGGCATGATCTCGCCTCACTGCAACCTCTGCCTCCCAAGTTCAAGTGATTCTCATGGCTCAGCCTCTCTGAGATTACAGGTATCTGAGATTACAGGTGCGCAATGCCACGGCTAGCTAATTTTTTTGCATTTTTAGTAGAGATGGTGTTTTGTCATGTTGGCCAGGCTGCTCTTGAACCCCTGACCTCAGGTGATCTGCCTGCCTTGGCCCCTCAAAGTGCTAGGATTACAGACGTGAGCTACAGTGCCTGGTCCTAGACAATGTATTTTTAACAATTGTATCATTTTGGACATGGTAAGCAACATTCAGTAAATATTTGTTGATTGAAAAGAGGCTAATACAGTAAAACTATAAGGGAACTTTAAATCCTACAGCTAATAGGCTGATTTCGAAAGTATAAATAAAATGTTTATATAAGACCGCACACGGTGGCTGAAACCTGTAATCCCAGCACTTTGGGAGGCTGAGACGGGTGGGTCATGAGGTCAGGAGATTGAAACCATCCTGGCTAACACAGTGAAACCCCGTCTCTACTACAAAAATACAAAAAAACTAGCCAGGCGAGGTGGCGGGCGCCTGTAGTCCCAGCTACTCGGGAGGCTGAGGAGGCAGGAGAGTGGCGTGAACCCGGGAGGCAGAGCTTGCAGTGAGCCGAGATACAGCCACTGCACTCCAGCCTGGGTGACAGAGCGAGACTCTGTCTCAAGAAAAAAAAAAAAAATGTTTATATAAATTAAGCTTGCTTCAGGATGCAGAAAAAAAACTTCAAGAAAAAAGCAGAAGTTTTTAAAGAAAATAGCAAAAGTCAAATAAATAGAGAACATAGAAATGGTGGTGCTAATGTTTATATAATACATCCAGAAAGAAGTAGAAACTTACCTAACTTTAGAATTTGCTTTATAAAGCTACACATATAAATGCTATAATATGTGAGATTAATTGGGAAAACCAGGAATTGAATTTTTTAAATAATTCTTGCTTATCTGTCTCTCTCTAGTTATTGTGACCAACTGAAAGTATCAGAGAGTACCCATGTGCTCCAGCCCTTCCTCCCCAGTATCCTGGATGGCTTAATTCACCTAGCAGCCCAGTTCAGCTCAGAGGTCCTCAACCTGGTGATGGAGACCCTGTGCATCGTTTGTACAGTAGACCCCGAATTCACAGCAAGCATGGAAAGCAAAATCTGCCCCTTCACCATCGCCATTTTCCTAAAGTACAGTAATGGTATGCCACCAGGGAGAACTGTGTTATGAGGGGCACCAAAGAAAAGGTGGTGGCTGGGGAATTTAAATGAAAGATTCCCTAGGTTTGGTCTTACCTATGATGCTATGGTTTTAACATCATAAGCAAAGAATCTGGCTTTGGATTAGCAAAAAATAGAATTGTGCTGTAAATGTAGCAGCATTAAAAAATAGAGTACCTATTTCTGTAACACTTACTCTCTAGTAAGGACTTAGGGAAAAAGATAATAAATAAAGGGCTTATAAGCAAGAGATATAATTCAGAACTTTGATGATAGAATAGGAAATTGGGCAAATGAAAAGCCTAAAAGAAAAGGGCTAGGACTATAATTTAGAAAAGGAGATACTAAAGAAAGATACATGTAAAAGTTTATGAACAAAGATATTCACTAGATATTTTTTACAGTAGTAAAAATTTGGAAATTATAAAAAGACATTAGTTAATTATATCCATAAAATGAAATACTGTTCAGCCATTAAAAATCAAGCTTAAAAGGAATATTTAAAACCATGGGAAAGAGCTTACATTGTAATAAATGAAAAGATACTTTTCCCCAAAAATCCATAGATATGATCCCAAGTTTTGATTTTTCTTTTACGAAAAGATATATGTATAGATAAGTATGTTAAAAAAAAAAAAAAAGGCAGAAAAAAATATATCAAAATTTTAAGAGTGTTTATCTCTAGGTGGTGGAATTACAGGTGTTTTCTTTATTACTTTTCTGCAATTTAAGGTTTTTTTTCCTATAGTGAATGTGTTTATTAATACCTTATTACTAGTAAAATATTAAGGATTTTTTTTTTTTTAAAGAGAGAGCTCCAATATTGAAGCTCAGAAAGATGTACAGGATAAGGATTGTTTATATAATGTGATATACTGAACATGTTATTAGATATGCTTTTTCACTGAAAAATGTGTACTGAGGAGCTTTCCACATTGTGTTCTTGGATATATCTCATTCTTTCAGCCATTACATAGTATTCCATAAAATGGGTATATCATAATTTACCCATTCTGCTAATGGACATCTAGGGTATTCCCAATTTTTTTCTATTACAAACAATGCTGCAGTGATCTTTTAAGATATACTTTAATATACATTGCCTATATTTTTCCATACTAAATAGAGGGGGATGTTTTGTTATATAGATAAAGAAGATTGAGCTAAAGTTCCCTTTCTTCATAAGGCTGTGCTTTTTAGGAGTTTTGCCTTTTGCCCCAGAAGTAGCTTTGAGATTTGTTCATGGCTTCCATGGCTACCTCACAGGAGATATGTATGATTTCTCTCATGCATCAAAGTCAGTGTTTTGGCAATTTTTGCAACTTTCTTCTTAAAGTATCAGTTGGGCTTTTTTTTTTTTTTTAAAGCATGTGGTTTTATAATCTAGGTTTCACAAGAATAAAGACTTTAAAGATTTTTCTTTAGAAAAACTACATTTTGTTTTAGGAGTAGCTGTTAAAGACTAGTCCCTACTTTAATGAAGCCATACAAAGTGTACCTCTTGGAGATTTAGGATCACTCCTGTTCTTTCAGGTTATTCATGTGGCCCCACTAGGTCCCGGATGTGTGATAAGTAATCAATGCAGAAGTTGTTAGGTTAGGGCAAACAACAGGCATCATTAAGCGAGAAGCAGATGCAGACCATCAGGCAGGGGGATTCCGTGTTGCCTTATCCACTTCAGATCCCGTCGTCGCCTCACTGGCTCAGGACATCTTCAAGGAGCTGTCCCAGATTGAAGCCTGTCAGGGCCCAATGCAAATGAGGTTGATTCCCACTCTGGTCAGCATAATGCAGGCCCCAGCAGACAAGATCCCTGCAGGGCTCTGTGCGGTAAGTGGCTGTGTGTGTGTGAGATATACAAGTGCCACCCACAGATGCATGTAGCTGACAAGAACCTAATAGCATTAGAGATTCATGGGGTGATTTTGCTGAGCTCTTTTGCCCACAATGACAGTGGGTGATTCTCTGAAGCTTTAAGAAAATGACTTGACTTGGCGCGGTGGCTCACGCCTATAATCCCAGCACTTTGGGAGGCCAAGGCAGGTAGATCACAAGGTCAGGAGTTTGAGACCAGCCTGACCAGTATGGTGAAACCCTGTCTCTCCTAAAAATACAAAAATTAGCCGGGCATGGTGGCAGGCGCCTGCAGTCCCAGCTACTTGGGAGACTGAGGCAGGAGAATCCCTTGAACCCAAGAGGCAGAGGTTGCAGTGAGCGGAGATCGCACCACTGCACTCCAGCCTGGGTGACAGAGCGAGACTCTGCCTTAAAAAAGAATAGAAGAAAGAAAATGGCTCTTCTTGTTTCAGAGGTACCCTCAGTGAATTGAACAGAGTGCCACCATTACACAGCGCCACTAAGTATGTCACCTGGTTATCCAATCCACTGCCATGTACTAGTGCCCACCCCTAGGACTAATCAATTAGTAAGCTATTATGAGGAGACTGAGAGCACTACCCATTTAATTATTCCTTTTATTTTGGAAACGTGCCTTTCATTAATAAGCTTTCTCTGGGTTGCTATGTGATACCCATCCAGTAAGGATCTTAGTTGTTGGGCACCCCCAACCCCAGAGGCAATTCTGACTCTTTTTTCTTCTCTCTTTCAGACAGCCATTGATATCCTGACAACAGTAGTACGAAATACAAAGCCTCCCCTTTCCCAGCTTCTCATCTGCCAAGCTTTCCCTGCTGTGGCACAGTGTACCCTTCACACAGATGACAATGCCACCATGCAGGTATCTGAGACATGGAGACTAGAAGGGGGAAGATAGCTCCCCAGTCATGGGCCTTTACTACGCTGAGAAATCTGACATGGTTTTATGCTTTTGAAATACGAAATTCCTCAACTCCATATTTACTTAGCAGATTCAGGAAGGGTTCAGGCTGCAAAAGCCAAGCGTTTCTGGTGCTTTGGAGCATGTTACAGGTTTTAAAAATACAGATACCAAGCACCCTGCCCATCTGTATTGGGTATTGCTACTATGAAAGAGATTATAGACATCTAGACTTGGGGCCATAAAAAAGTCTTTCTGCATATTTCCTCTATTAATAAAATCAGCAGAGGAATGGGCCTCTAGAGAGGGGAGAGATGCCTAAATATTTTTTCTCTTTTTGTTTCCTGGGTGAATTGGTTACCTTTTCAGGTGTGTACTACCGTCATTGATTATAAAGGTTATAGGAACTTGCCAGTGAATATTGATCAGCTTGGAAATCCCTAGGCAACTAGTGGTTTGTGTAGGACCTATATGAGGTCCTATAGTATCCCCAATTATTGCAAGATTGTAAGCATATTTTTTTAGTACCAGAGGTAGACCTTTATGATTAAAATTCATTTTGCTTGGCCATTGTCCCTTGTGATTAAAAAATAATAGTAATACACATTTTTGAGATAGCTCATTAGGTAAAGGGGGAATTATGTAATGCATGTCTGTGTCTGTAACAGTAAATTCCTGATTCCAGTGGTATGAGCCCACCACAAATACTATAGACTCACCGCTTTTATGAGGCATAGGCCTCTGAGAACATTTGTTTATACAGACTGAGGGCCTCCTGGCATCTGTCCCTCGGTTACTAACCTTGCTTGCCACCCCTGTCTCCCCAGAATGGCGGAGAGTGCTTGCGGGCCTATGTGTCAGTGACCCTGGAACAAGTAGCCCAGTGGCATGACGAGCAGGGCCACAATGGACTGTGGTATGTGATGCAAGTGGTGAGCCAGCTCCTGGACCCCCGCACCTCAGAGTTCACTGCGGCCTTTGTGGGCCGCCTTGTTTCCACCCTCATCTCCAAGGCAGGGCGGGAGCTGGGGGAGAATCTAGACCAGATTCTTCGTGCCATCCTCAGTAAGATGCAGCAGGCAGAGACGCTCAGTGTCATGCAGGTAAGAGAACAGTAGGGAGTGGGCTTCCTACTCTCTGGCTGATAGAAGTGAAAATTAGTATTTTGGTCCTGAGTTATTTTACCCTGTTACTACCCTTGTAGGACAGTTAAGTAAAATGGGATCTGTCTGGCCTAAGAAACATGGACAAGGAAATCTCCATGTTTTCTTGTCCTGTGAATAATACCCTCAGTGTAGACTCTGTCTCTTATCTGACTGGCTAGTTCCCTCTCATCTCTTATGTCTCTGAAATTGATTTCCCTGAAGCAAATATCCTTATTTTCTCCTAGTCCCTGATCATGGTGTTTGCTCATCTGGTGCACACTCAGCTAGAACCTCTTTTGGAGTTCCTGTGTAGCCTCCCAGGACCTACTGGCAAACCTGCTCTAGAGTTTGTGATGGCTGAGTGGACAAGCCGACAGCACCTGTTCTATGGACAGTATGAAGGCAAAGTCAGGTAGAATCCCATCTTTCTTTTCTGGGCATTCTGCCACCACTTCACCACTTATATTTCTTTGTTTTGTTTTGTTTTGTTTTGTTTGAAACAGAGTCTCACTCTGTCCCCCAGACTGGAGTGCAGTGGCACAATCCTGGCTCACTGCAACTTCCACCACACCCAGCTAATTCTTTTGTGTGTGTGTGTGTGTGTGTGTGTGTGTGTGTGTGTGTATTTTTAGTAGAGACAGGGTTTCACCATGTTGGCCAGGCTGGTCTTGAACTCCTGACCTCAAGTGATCCACCCACCTCGGCCTCCCAAAATGCTGGGATTACAGGTGTGAGCCTCTGCTCCTGACCTATATTTCTTTTTTTCCCTGATTTGCTCCATTGATTTTTGTTTGACATTTCAGATGGCTCTTTGTATTCCCTTTTCCTTGTCTTTCTTTATTGCTAAGGCACATATGTGAATAGCTGCCATCTTGAAATCCCCAAAAGACAGTCAACACAGGTAGACTATATATTTCTGATCTCTGCTTGCTAGAGATCCCTTCTCTACCGCAGACTTCACACAGCTAAGTGCTGCTAGTGGCTTATTTTCCTTTATAAGCCCAAGCCTTGGCCAGGCGCACTGGCTCACACCTATAATCCCAGCACTTTTGGAGGCTGAGGCAAGCAGATCACTGGAGGTCAGGAGTTCAAGACCAGCCTGGCCAACATGGTGAAACCCTCTCTCTACTACAAATACAAAAAATAGCTAGATGTGGTTGTGGGTGCCTATAATCCCAGCTACTTAGGAGGCTAAGGCAGGAGAATTGCTTGAACCCAGGAGGCAGATCACGGCTGGGCAACAGGCAGATGCACTCTAGCCTGGACCACAAGAGCAAAACTGTCTCAAAATAAAAAACCCAAGCCTTCTAACCCTGGCTTCCTAACTTTCTGTCCTGGACTTTTATACCATTGATTCTTATCACCTCATTGCACGTTACAATATGGATAGCCATCATGATGCTTGCCCACCCTAGCTTTGTTCAAGAAGAACAGGTTACCTGTAATCCCAGCACTTTGGAAGACTGAGGTGGGCAAATTGCTTGAGACCCACCTGGGCAACGTGGTGAAACCTATCTCTACCAAAAATATTAGCCAGGCATGGTGGCACGTGCCTACCCACTCGGGAGTCCCAGCTACTCAGGAGGCTGAGGTGGGAGCATCACCTGAACCCAGGGAGGTCAAGGCTTTGCAGTGAACCATGATCACGCCACTGCACTCAGCCTGGGTGACAGAATGAGACCCTATCACAAAAAAAAAAAAAAAGAAGAAGAAGAAGAACAGATCTCATTAGACCATCTCATGAACTCTAAAATCTCATTTTCAGCTGAACTCTCTTAGCTCTCCTAATTAGTTGTTAACAGAATTTTCACTGTCAAATAGAGGGCCTTAGGACATGATTGCTTATCTCCTTGGCATGAACTCTAGATAGGTAACTGATTGACCTTTTTTTGGATCTTCCTTGCCAGCTCTGTGGCACTCTGTAAGCTGCTCCAGCATGGCATCAATGCAGATGACAAACGGCTACAGGATATCCGTGTGAAGGGAGAGGAGATCTACAGCATGGATGAGGGCATCCGCACCCGCTCTAAGTCAGCCAAAAGTGGGTGATGCTGCAATTCCTCCAATCCTCTCCCTATAATAAGGGGCTAAGGATACCTGGGTGGAGGGAAGGAATGCATTGTGGTATATATTTTTAAAACATAATTGTTGGTGATGGGTTTGATAAAGAAGCAACAGGAAACTTAGATAAAAGGGATCAGAACATATGGTTTCTTCCTGTTGTCAAAAATGGACAAAAATAAGCTGGGCGTGGTGGCTCACGCCTGTAATTCCAGCAGTTGGTGGGAGGCCAGGGCGGATGGATCACTTGAAGTCAGGAGTTTGAGACCAGCCTGACCAACATAGTGAAATCCTGTCTCTACTAAAAGTACAAAAATTAGCCAGATGTGGTGGTGGGCGCCTGTAATCCCAGCTACTTGGGAGGCTGAGGCAGGAGAATCGCTTGAACCTGGGAGGCAGAGGTTGTGGTGAGCCAAGATCGTGCCACTGCACTCCAGGCTAGACAACAAAACAAGGCTCCATCTCAAAAAAAAAAAAGAGTGAGTGCGATGGCTCACACCTGTAATCCCAGCACTTTGGGAGGCCGAGGCTGCCGGATCGCCTGAGGCCAGGAGTTCGAGACCAGCCTGACCAACATAGAGAAACCCCATCTCTACTAAAAATACAAAGTTAGCCAGGCATGGTGGCACATGCCTGTAATCCCAGCTACTTGGGAGGCTGAGGCAGGAGAATAGCTTGAACCCGGTAGGCGAAGGTTGCAGTGAGCCAAGATCATGCCATTGCACTCCAGCCTGGGCAACAAGAGCGAAACTCTGTCTGGAGGGAAAAAAAAAAAAAAAAAAGGGACAAAAATAGTCTCAGGTACCAAGCATCCCAGTTTCCAGCTTCATTCTGAGGCGTGGGCACAGATGGTTAGTGTGTCTTTGTTATTGAGTTGACTTTGGCCTGTAACGCCAAGGATTTGCAGGTAGGGAGTATAGAGCTGCTATCTTTAATGTAGATTTATAATTACCTCCGCTGTCTCTCAATTTGTAAGTCACTGGGACTGGAGTACTGGCTCTGTACAGTTCCTTGGTTTCAGAGCTTTATTACTAACGAGACTCTATCTCCTTTAATCCCTGAACTCTCATCTCTCCCACCTTCTGAACTGTTACAATACCAAACAGAATAAAGTTATTAAACTTTAAATCACTCTTTGGAGACTAGATATAGTCAGGGACAGTGAAAGTCTGAGGGGTGGTGAACTCTGGTGAGCGGCACTGAGGAGGGGACAGGGCTACTTCCAGAAGTAAGCCCAGTGACACTCTGACTTGAAGCCTTTTTCTTCCTTCCCAGACCCAGAACGCTGGACAAACATTCCTTTGCTGGTCAAGATCCTAAAGCTGATCATCAACGAGCTCTCCAACGTCATGGAGGCTAATGCCGCTCGCCAGGCCACTCCTGCAGAGTGGAGTCAAGGTGCACCAGGCCTTTACTCCAAGGAGACTTTTAGCCTGGCAGATCAAGTTACAAATTGTCAAATTAGCAACTTGGTTTGTTGAGTCACTAATTGAAAAAAAAAAACAAGTTAATGGTTAATGGAATGGCTGCTCTGTGGCTGGCACCGTGCTAGGCACTAGGCATGTAAAGAGCTGCTTCTCCAGTCTGCCATATGAAGGCTGGGGTGGGAGGCAGCCAGGAGGCAAGCTAACATAGCCCTTCTTTGGTTTGATTCTTCTTAAGAGCCTCTCAACCTTTATATCTCCAGGTTCTTTCTTTCAGATTTACCAGAAGGGTTTGGCCATTTCTGGTTCTCTTTCACTGGGTACTACAAGCCACATTGCAGAAGCCTTTGGGGCCCTGCTGGTCTGTTTGGATTTGGGGAGGGGAAGTGCATGAATGTGCTCTAGCTCTAGCTACTTTTCATCTCCAAGTAGATGACTCCAATGATATGTGGGAGGACCAGGAGGAGGAAGAGGAGGAGGAGGAGGATGGTTTAGCTGGCCAACTTTTATCTGACATTCTTGCTACAAGTAAATATGGTAAGCTGTTTGATAAGAGGACAGCCATGGTAAATACCTTTTCTTTGCACACTGATCCCAAGAATGGGGTACCCAAGAAAGGGGAGAGGTGGGCCCACAGGGACATTCCTTGGGCTTTTGCACCTTCCGCCTCCGTCATGTGGTAGTGTATCACCATTCAGGGCCTGATCACGGGCCTTTGTCCTGACCCGCCCTATGTTGGCTGTGTCTAACAGAGGAGGATTACTACGAGGATGATGAGGAAGATGACCCTGATGCCCTGAAGGATCCTCTCTATCAGATTGATCTGCAGGTGAGGGTGTCCAGAGATGTCTTGCAAATGGCAATGTCCCAGGCCATGGAAACAGGAATATGGGCTCAAATCCATTTATGGCCAGGCATGGTGGCTCATGCCTGTAATCCCAACACTTTGGGAGGTCAAGGCAGGAGGATTGCTTAAGCCCAGGAGTTCAAGACCGTCTGGGCAACGGAGAGGAGACCCTGTCTCTACAAATAATTAAAAAATTATCTGAGCATAGTGGCACATGCGTGTGGTCCCAGCTACTCGGGAGGCTGAAGTGGGAGGATCGCTTGAGGCCAAGAGGTCAAGGCTGCAGTGAACTGTGATCATACCACGGCACTTGAGCCTGGGCGACAGAGCAAGACCCTGTCTTTCTTTTTTTTTTTCAAAAAAAAAAAATCCATTTATAATTTAACATGGGAGCCTCACGGGAAAGAGTTCTTGTCTTGTTGAGTGGTCCAGTGTTTTGGATGGGCTGGAACTTTGCACTTGATGTGTTGTAATTCATTTTCTAGAGTCTATGTCGTGAAGGTCCTTGGGGTGATAGAGCCTTGGAAAAATGTTGTTTCCCTGTGGATTATCTAAACTAGATCCAAGAACATGAAAGACCATCCCTCAGGGAGCTGGCATTTGTCTAAAAACCAGCATTCCCTGTGCCATTTGATTGTGGTTCTTGCTTCACTGCAAATGGGTGACTTGCAATATCTCACTAATGCCACTCTTGCTCTTTTCCTCCAGGCGTATCTCACAGATTTCCTCTGCCAGTTTGCTCAGCAGCCCTGCTACATAATGTTTTCAGGCCACCTTAATGATAACGAGAGGCGAGTTCTACAGACCATCGGCATCTAAAAAGGGGAGCTTTTCTCCATTTGCTCCTTCTGGCCCAGCCGCAAACCATTTTGCAGCCCTCACTGGCCTTGAGATGCACTTTCTTCTCAACCTAAAGTGGCATCTTGACACTTGGCCCTTGGCCTCGGGAGTGACACTGATGACAACTCAGACCAGGCTCACCAGTGCCGTCACTTAGGAATGCTGGAACAAAGGACATTTCTCAAAGTTCCCCTGAAGACATACCATCTCTAGAACCTTTTTTCTCCCTGACTCTACCCCCACCTCTGTTCCTAGAGCCCTCTGCTGGCCAGTCCAGAAACATTATTGCCCAGAAGGATTATGTGTTTATGGATTATTTTGCCCCGCCTCAGGAGCACAGGAAGTCACTACCATTTATATTCTGAAACAGACCTATCTGTGTTCATAGGACTTCTGATTTTTTCAGATAGGAATCCTCGTGAGAGATCATTATGCTTTGTGCCCTGGACCACTGCTGCTCTGGGTTCTCAGGAGGAACAGGCAGGAGCAGCTTCATTCTAAGCCTTTCCAGTGACCTCAGCCCTGCTTCCCTTCTACAACACTAAGGCTCCTCTGTCAGAGGAGGTCGTCTTGTTTTTGCCTCATTGCATGACATAACCCTTCCCCTCAAGCTGTTCCTATATATACATGCACACACAAAATAAGCCAGACAGATGGCAATTTGATTTTCCTTTTTTAGAAAAAAAAAAAAAAAAAAAATGGGAAAAAAGGGAATTTTTTTTAAATGCACATGACCCAACTATATTTAATATGCCTCTCCCACACATTACCACAGAGTCTGATATTCAGAGGTTATCCCCTCTCCCTCAGGAAGCCTCTAAAGTGGTTAAGTTGTAGCCCTCAAATTTGCAACATGTATTTTTCTAGGACAGTAAAGTAATCTTTACAAATGAATTTAGTTGCATGGTATAAGGTGTCTCAGCACCTGTTTGCCTTCTATTCCCTTTAGAAGGTAAGTAAAAGTAGTGGGGGAAAGGATTAGGTGGAGCCTATCTAAACATTCTAGTGTGTTTTGGAAAACCTAGCCTGAAATGATTCTTAGAGAACTGGCATTGTTTAATCAAATATTTTTAAGGGAGATTCCTTAATTGGGAAGTTTAGTCTGTTTGGGGTTCAAAGAGCAAATGAGGATTAGAAAATCCTGGAGAGAGGCTAGGCACAGTGGCTAATGCCTATAATCCCAGCACTTTGGGAGGCTGAGGTGGGCAGATCACTTGAGGTCAGGAGTTTGAGGCTAGCCTGGCCAACACAGTGAAATGCCCATCTCTACTAAAAAGACAAAAATTAGCTGGGCATGGTGGTGCATGCCTGTAATCCCAGTTAATTTGGGATGCTGAGGCAGGAGAATTGCTTGCACCTGGGAGGCAAAGGTTGCAGTAAACCGATATCACGCCATTGCATTCCAGGGCGAGACTCCATCACACACACACACACATGCACACACACAAATCATGGGGAGAAAGATGAAGCCTGTGTTCCCCTTTTTTTGATAGTGCCCACATCTGGTGCCCCATTTTTAATAGCCACAGAATATTTCTTTAGATTGATATTCTCACAAGAAATAGAATATAGGCTGGGTGCAGTGTGTCACACCTGTAATCCCAGCACTTTCGGAGGCCGAAGCGGGTGGATCACCAGAGGTCAGGAGTTCAAGACCAGCCTGACCAACACGATGAAGCCCTGTCTCTACTAAAAATACAAAAATTAGCCAGGCGTGGTGGCATGCGCCTGTAATTCCAGCTACTTGGGAGGCTGAGAGGAGAATTGCTTGAACCTGGGAGGCAGAGGTTGCAGTAAGCCAAGATCGTACCATTGCACTTCAGCCTGGGCAACAAGAGGAGCGAAACTCTGTCTTAGGAAAAAAAAAAAAAAAGGAAGAATATAAAGTGAATCTGAATCTCCACTCAAGGGGATGGCCCCAAGGATATCGTAGCTAGTAATGTCTTCATGCCACTAGGTGTCCCCAGTGTTCAACCTCCATGACTGAGATTGGAAGAAATAAGAGTTGAAAGTTTTTACTATCTTTGAAAAGCCTGCGGGCATGTTCACAATTGTCCCGTGCCAGCCAGGTTCTGAGGCTAACTGCTTGTGCCCCTGCTGCTTCTCCACATGGCATTGGGGAAATGATGGCAGGTCTGACCAAGTGGTGCTCAGAAAACCACCCTCAGCCTTGCAGACTCACTCCATAGTTTATCTCAAGGCAGTGCCAGTTGGATTTGGTGCTAAAGGCATAAGGCCAAGTTGGCCTCTGATTTTGGTGCAAAAGAATGGTCTCATGCCAGTAGCATTGAACTGCTGAGCTTGGGAAGGCTTAAGGCTCCCACACAGACTGAGAATGATGGGGGACTCTCTGGGTCTACTGATTAGGAAAATGTTCTCTCTCTAGTGCCAAAAGTGGTCCTAAGTCCTTTGGCAAGGGTCCTTTCTGCTCTCATGCTGATTTGGGGGAGGACTAGGCATCCTGCCTCAGGAGAACGTGAGTCCTGAGGAAGGGGCCCTAGTATCACTTAAGGGCTACCCCTGGCTAACAGATACTTGGCTGTGGTTGAGAGTAGAAGGTCTTGGACCCCTCGGTGTGCAGGTACTTAACTGTGTTTCCAGTGCATTTTCATGTACATTATCTAATTTAACCTTTATAACAGGTTCACAGGGTGGATATTCCCATTCTGTTGATGAGAAAAAGTTTGGAGAGACTATGTCCACTGTCAGCAGGAAGAAAAAAGATCTGTTGGAGGCCAGTACATGTTGACAGAAACTCTAGACCATATTTTGTCTCCTGTCTTTGGCCAAAGAGAACTAGCTTCAGTCTGAAAAGGGCAGGGCTAAGTGGTTACAAGGAATAAAAAGTTCAAGGTAAGACAAATGAGGTAAAAATAAAAAAGAGCACTTAGCTGCTCTGAGACATTTTAGTCTCCTGACTCTGGTAAACAGCAGCTGGGGCACCAAGGGGTTCCCAGGAGTTTGTTGAGCTTTTATTGGAGTGAACTGAAAGGAGGGAATGCTGTAAGACTGAAAAGTTTAAACCCCAGGAAGGAAGCTGATAACACAAGTTACAGTCGTATAAGTGACATTGATTTGGGAAGAATGAACCTACAACAAATGACCCAAAAGCACCTAAATGAGAGTGATGAGAGTTTAATAGATATTCATTATGGACTTCAGAGAAAATGATGCTAAACTGACCTTATAGTCTTCTTTAACTTTGTTAAGTAGGTAAAATAATCTGGACATAGTAAAGTCAAAGCATTAGGGAGATAGAGAAGTTGGTAACCACCAACTAACTAACTAGAAATTCACCCATTGTGGGTTGACCTGATATGTGCCCCCAGGGCTGTGTCCTTGGCCCCTCCTTTGATATTAGTGACAGATGACTTTTTTTATGCCTTACCCATTCCACAAAAGAATTTGAAGCCATTTACACAAGAGATAGTACTAGTAAATTAGGAATCCTGATCAAATTTTTAGATAATAATAAACCCTTAGGAAGGATGACAATTTAGAATCCAAATTTAGGATCCAAACAAATACCATTACAACCTATAAAAGTGAGCGGAATCTAAATGTAACATTTCAATAAATGCAGATTGATAATATCTGTGGAAAGAGTTGAGGACTATAGCGTACTGTGCTCTCACTAACAGTACTGCGTGCTGCTAAGAGTTTAATGGCCGGGTGCAGTGGCTCACACCTGTAATCCCAGCATTTTGGGAGGCCTAGGTGGGTAAACCACCTGAGATCAGGAGTTCGAGACCAGCCTGGCCAATGTGGTGAAACCCCGCCTCTACTAAAAATACAAAAATTAGCTGGACATGGTGGCAGACACCTGTAATCCCAGCTACTCAGGAGGCTGAGGCGGGAGAATCACTTGAACCTGGGAGGCAGAGGTTGCAGTGAGCCAAGATCACACCATTGCATTCCAGCCTGGGTGACAGAGCAAGGCTCTGTCTCAAAAAAAAAATGTTTATTATGCCAGGAAGGCCAGGTGTGGTGCCACACCCCTGTAATCCCAGCACTTCAGGAGGCTGAGGTGGGCAGATCACTTGAGCCCAAGAGTTTGAGACCAGCCTGGGCAATGTGACAAGACCTTGTCTTAAAATTTAAAATAAAAGAAGTTTATTATGCCAGGAACTGTTAATGTGTCCAGAAAACTCCAGTGTGGTCCTAGGATGAGATAATAAAATTAGGTTGTCTAGGGTAGTGTGGAAGGTGCTTTCAGTCTTAACTGTGCCTATCAGTGATCCTCATTGCTATGTTCCCTTCTGGTGCTCAACCAGAGGCTCCCTGACAGATGACCACTCTGCCAGATAAAAGCTAAGATGCAGAAGACAAATCGTGTCAAGGAAAAGAAGCTTGAAGGAGCTAAGAATGCTTAGCTTAGAGAAGACAAGAAGAAACAGGACATGGCTTTGGGAAGTTCAAGCAGTGAAATACATCCTATACTTTTGCACCCCAGCCAAGCTGACCCATGATCAATAAGTATGAAATAAAAGGCCAATTTCTGGCTACTCTTCCCCCCAACCCCATTTCAGTGAATGTTGAACCTCTGTTAGACGTGCAAGGCCAGTGCGAAATGCTGGAGGGCTTTGGCCTTTTCCTTCAAGGAACTAGTCTAGTAGGGGGTCAGAAATACAGATGGGCCGGAACGTAATGATCGTTTGACTTCTAATTTTTCAACTTTAGGATTGTGCAAAAGCTATGCACATTCAGTAGAAACAGTACTTCAAGTATCCATACAACCATTCTGTTTTTCACTTTCTGTACAGTATTCAATAAATTACATGAGACATTCAACACTTTATTATAAACTAGGCTTTGTGTTAGATGAGTTTGCCCAACTGTAAGCTAATGTAAGTGATCTGAGTAGGTTTAAGGTAGGGTAGGTGTATTAAATGCATTTTTTACTTAACAGTATTTTCCACTTTTGTTGGGTTTACTGGGATATAGCCCCGTTATAAGCTGAAAAGCATCTGTAGTATAATAAATGTGGGGAGTGCTGTGAGAGAAATAAGTATACTGGGTTTAGTTCCCACTGCCCAAAAAAGGAATTGACTAATCAGGTAAGTTGTATGGAGAAGGCTTGAACACTTGAAAGGAGCTAACAATACCTGCTTCTGGAGTATTTAAATGCCAGTGGGTATGCTAAATACTTTACCTCACTTAGACCACCTACTAACCTTACAAAGTAGTTAACTCTGCTCACCCAGTTTTACAGATTGATGAAACTGAAGCAGACAGATACTGTTAACCTATTAAAGGTCACACTGCAAGTGGGTGATTATAGTCCAAGCAGCTTGTACTTGGTGCCTATTTGTTTCACCTTTCCTGTGCATCTGCCAGGCAGATGAGAGCGGGGTAAGACATTGCAGAGAAAGAGTAAGAAAAGGCCGTCATGAAACAATTTCATTTTCAGACCTTATAAGCACATTAAAAGTACTGATATTTATGCTTAAGTTCATGGAAGCCCTGGCCAGAAGTAAAGCCGGAAGGACAAGTCGGGGCCAGATTGTGAAGGGTCCTGCAAGACCTGCTTCCTCTAGAGAATGGGAGACTACCCAAGAGTACTAAACAGAGAAGTGACATGATCAGGCTTTGTGTCTTAGAAAAGTGTTGCAGTGTTGATCCAAATGTGACTAGAAGGGTGACTTGGAACCTGGATCGGAGGAGTGGGAGATGGGAGAAAGGAATGCAGTCTGGCAGCAGCTACAACAGTCCAGGTGGGAAAACCCAGAGCCTGGACTAAGGCTGTAACTAGAGGGGACAGGGTGGAAGAGCTGGATTAGAGATGTTGACAAGGTAAAGTCAGTAGGACTTAAAGACTGACGGATTTTCCCAAAGTCAGAGCTATGGAATGAATTGTCTTAAAATGTTGTAGTGAGTTCCTCCTCATCAATCCAAGTGCTCAATCAGAGGCTGGACCTTTACTTAGCAGTCACGGGAAAATTCCCCATTCTCACGGGGATTTAGACCAGGTATTAACCATACTTTACCAAGATTCCAGTCGCAAAGCACCCAAAAGTAATTGTAATAAAATTCCAATTTTTGTAGGCCGGGCACAGTGGCCCACGCCTGTAATCCCAGCACTTTGGGAGGCCGAGGCGGGCAGATACGAGGTCAGGTGTTCGAGACCAGCCCGGCCAGCATGGTAAAACCCCATCTCTACTAAAAATACAAAAATTAGCTGGGCATGGTTTTGCATGCCTGTAATCCCAGCTACTCAGGAGGCTGAAGCAGGAGAATTGCTTGAACCCAGGAGGGGGAGGTTGCAGTGAGCCAAGATCATGCCACTGCACTCCAGCCTGGGTGACAGAGTGAGACTCTGTCTCAAAAAAAAACAAAATCCAATTTTTGTGAATTTAAGTTTCTCTAATGGATGGTGCAGGTCAACATTAGCCATCTAATGACCCTTACATTCCAATTTTTTACTTTTTTGAGTAAGTGGGAAAAGGTTGGCATTACTGCTGGCTTCTTAAAATTGAAAATTATACTAGGGTTTTTAAACCGGTGTAGAATACATGATGTGGAAGCAAATGTGCTATAGGAAGAAAAACAATGAGGAACTACTGGCCTGACTAGGAGGCCTGGAAGTCCCTCCCAGGCTTGAGTTGTTCTGACTTGGCATGATTACATAGCTGTGTCAAATGACATTTCCTTCAAGCCTTGGTTCTCTCATCTGTAAAATAGGGAACTAATACCTGCCTCACAGGATTGTAGTTAAGAATTAAGGATGACTTCATTAAAGCACCTCTAGTGGTGGAAGATGTCCCATCCTATCCCCCACCCGTAGCTGGGAGCTATGTTTGGCTTATTCTCCCTGACTCTCTGGATTACACTGTGACTCAGTTCAATTTCACACATGCTGCTGCTAAATTAGGGTCTTGGTGAGCCTTTGGGAGGACAGCTCTGAGGAATGAATTGTAGCACTGCAGCCCTGCCTGAGGAGCAGGATAGAAACAGGTGGTAGGCCCAGCTCTTGCCTTCTACCTACTAAGCAGTTTTTCTATGGTTAGCTGTGTGACATTATAAACTATCGGTGTATTAATTTGCTTTCACTAGATTTCCCACTACCCCCCCCACACACACCCAACTTAGTCCAAGAACATACTTTAATTCTTTGCATTTCCTTGCCTTAGTTGCTTTTGTAGGGTGGACAGCAGGACTGCATGAGAATAGCTCTGCTTCTGGACCCTATAGTGAAAGCTCTAGTGAACTGCGATTAGGCCAGGGTCCTGGAGGAAGAAGGGGAGAGTAAAAGGGCGGGTAGTTTTCCAAAAGATAAGTAGGGGACAAAAAAGTCCATGGGGCCTATGAGTGGTGAGAATCCTGCCCTGATTGTGGCAGAGCACCTGGAGATGATAGAACTTCCTAGGGAAAAGGCTGCATGGAGTCCCCAGGGATGCTGGGACCTGGTCACCAAGGCTCCCTGGGAAGGTCTCTTGTGCCTGCAGTACACAGACCAACACTTCTGAAATTGCAAGCTTAAGAGCATGTATGAGCAGAACCTGTGCAGACCAAGACTTAGAGGGCTCACCTCAATGTTTTGCACTGTGTGAGACCCCAGGACCTTTTTGTGATTCTGAAGAGGGGAACAAACCATAATAACAAACCAGGTAGCAGGATAGAGACTCATTCTCATCTATTTTGGTTAAAAGAAAATAAATGTATTTCTTCCACACCTGATTTTGTGATTGCAGATTCATAACTAATATCCCTCATAAGCTCCCTTGACTCATCCCTGCCACAGGGAGGTTCACAGCAAGAGCACAGAAACTAGTGCCAGTGCCCTGTTGTGTGACCTTGAGTAAGTTCTTTTTCCCTTGAACAGGGAGAGAGACACAATGGATCAGAGTGTCTCCACCAGTTCTAACTTGGTGACTCTAATGGGTTGAACCGAACAGTAGTCCATTTCCAAAAGAGGAGGCCAAGACCAGAGGAGGCATGGTTCCTTCAAGTTTGCAGAACCAGTAAGTGGCAGAGCAGGACTCATATCTAGTTAGTGGTTCAGAGCATGGGCTCCGGAGCTAGACTGCCTGGATTTGAACCCTGGCTTTGCCACTTGCCTGTTGGATGACTTTGGACAAGCTACTTAAATTATGTCTCCATTTCCTAATCCACAGAACAAGTATAATACTAGTATCTGTTTCATGGGGTGATTGTGAGGATTAACTAAAGTTAATATAGTAATACAAAGCACTTCGTAGTGCTGCCTCATAGTAAGTGTTAATGTTACCTATTATTAGTCTAATCCCAAGTCTAATGCAGTTCTCACCTCCTAAACCTGCCTTTACAGAGTTGGCCTTTCGGAGAAACCCTGTGCCTCTGTAGATTCAACACTCCCATCTGTGCAGGTGGCTAACAGCTAGGCTGAAAACAGAAACCTTGGGTTGGAAAGGGTCAGCTGGAGGGCTGAGGCCCATGGCCCCAAATCCTCCCCAGGAGAGAGAGTAGGGACAGAAAGGAGAGAGCTATAAACAGAGCTTTCCTCCTCCCTTGCCCTCAGATCCCAAAATAACACTTGTCTACCCCCATCCTGCCCAGCTGGCAGAGTGGCAGGCTGAGTAAGGTGCCATTTAAAGATAACCTGGCCCTCCCCATCTGCCCCACTGGCTAGGCTGGGCTCCTGAGGCCAGGCCTTGGCTGCCTGGGACTGCTGCCACTCCCACGGCCACCCAGAGTGTTCCTGGGTAGGGGACTGCTCACAGCTGCCATCCAAGCCAGCCTGGCTACACCCCCTTCTTTCCTGAGGCCCAGGCTGTCCTGGGCACTCTACAAACAAGCAGAAGCCTGGCATTCTGGGAGAGGCAATCCTACAAAGGCATTGGTAAAAAATCCTTCTGGAGAAGAGTGCTTCATGTATATATAAATTTATAAGGTACTTGTGCAGCTTTGTTACATGGAAGAGTGCTCCTTCTTACCAGTAGCTTGGCAGCAGTGAGGCTGATCCTCACTGTCCTTCACCCACCCTCCACTTGCAAATCCCTCCCACCAAGAGGACAAACACAGGAGACAGTCTTTCATTTACAGCAAGAAAGATTAAAGCTAGACGCCAGGAAAAGCGTTCTGATTTAAGAGAGATGTTTGTTTATTCCCGGGCAGTGGGAGCCAAAAGACCTGGTTCCCCAACTAAGCCATGAGACCTTGGCCAAGTCCTGGTGCTCTCCTAGGCCTTACTCTCCCTAGCTGTGGACTGCAAGGAGAATTCATGTGTCCAAGACTCCAGGAAGGGTCTGACATTAAATCAGAGGAAGGAACTCTGGGGTCCTATGGGGGATGGGGGTGGGATGTATAATTACCTGTCTGCAGGAGTTGGGCTGCCAGAGGCAGGGAGGAAAAGAAAAGAGGACAGAGTAACAGCATTCCGGGAGAGCACTGATTGATCAGAGGCAGTAATTAGGAAAGGAATGGAGTTTCCCTTATCTTGGAATGGCTCAACTCAAACCACTGGCCAGACAAAAGTGGAGGCAGGAACCTCCACGGCCAGATAGCAGGGGTAGGGCAGGACCAGGGTGGGATACAGCCTCCAGGGCTCATGGCACAGGAAAGTAAGGAAGACCTCAGGAATGCCTGTGTCAGTCTGCTCTGATAGAAAGAGGAGCATGGAAGGGGTTGGGAGGAGCCCTAGGCTGGTCATTCAGTCCAGGAGTGAGGTGACTCAACAGAGCACTCCTACCGGTCACAGGCAGGGTCCCAGCCCTTCCCCTCCTCCTGCCCTTCCCCACTCCAGATATCCCTGGCTACCTTCTCACCACATGCAGAGGCCTGCTAGAGATAAGGGCTGGGCATCAAGAGTTTCCCTGAGTACATACTCTTTATGCCAGGCATAGCACTGAGCATTTTAGACTTGTTTTTTGTTTTGTTTGAGACAGAGTTTCACTCTTGTTGCCTAGGCTGGAATGCAGTGGCGCATTTCCGGGTTCAAGCCTCCTGGGTTCAAGTGATTCTCCTGCCTCAGCCTCCCAAGCAGCTAGGATCACAGGCATGTGCCACCACGCCCGGCTAATTTTGTATTTTTAGTAGAGATGGGGTTTCTCCATGTTGGTCAAGCTGGTCTCGAACTCCCGACCTCAGGTGATCCACCCGCCTCGGCCTCCCAAAGTGTTGGGATTACAGGCGTGAGCCACCGCGCCCGGCCCTTTAGACTTGTTTAAAGAGAAGCAGGTGGTGAAGCTGAAGGGCTGGGGCTTTGAAGCTATGAAAATCCAGCTGCAAATCCCAGCAGTGTGAGCTGGGGGAACTGAAGTTCTTCCAACTTCAGTTTCCTCATCTGTACAATGGGATGAGCTCGCTGGCAATGTTTGCTGCTGGTGTTACCATTACCATCATATTCCAGACAACCTGAGGAGAACCTCCTACTGATAAAGTCTATGTTTTGTCTCATCTGATCACAGATTGCTCTGCCTCCTCTTTTCCAGGAAAGTGTTTCTTTCCCTTGCTGGGGATTAAGAGACCAGCTTGGTGAGGGTATTCCTGCCTGCCCTTACCGAGAGAAGGTGTAGTGAAGCCCCTCCAGGTCTGAAGATTTAGACAGCCTCTTCCAGGGCCCCCAGTCCTCCCACCCAAGCCCCTCCTCACTCCCGGCCAACCCTATGGACTCTTTCAGGACTCAGGTTCATTATGGTGACATAAGCTAGCCCCAGCTCTCCATCTCCAAGTTCCAGCATCCCTTGTCAAGGTAAGAAGTGCAAGTTCTCCGAGTGCAGCCAGTTCTCCCCTCTGGTTGGCCCACAGGCCCTTCTCTTCACTCTCTGTCCTAGCCTAGTCACCTCCCATCCCATGAACTGAAATATATTCTTAGAATTTTGCAATTAGGAAAACACTGATGATGTTGGTGTGTGCTAGGTGTCATTGCAAGCTGGAAGTGTCATCTAGGGGTATATGCTTTGAGGAGGGCTAGTTGGAGAAAAAAGCAGAAAAGGAAAGTAGCTAGAGAGGCATGAGTTTCAAGAAGGATGTGGTTTGGTTTAGTTTGTTTTAAATAGGAAAGACTTGAGATTTCCTTTTCCTAGGGAAAAGAAGCTGGTAAGGTAGGAGAAGCTAAAGACACTAAAGAGATGGGATAATGAAGAGACAGATCAGCAGGGGTCAAGGGTACACATGGGAGAGTCAGCCCTGGGCAGGAAAAACACCCCTTCATCTGAGGATGATTCCAACAATGACAGCACAAATGGCTAGGGCTGGATGGCAACAGTGAACACAGCCACGTGGTCCCTGCAGTCATGGAGCTTTTAGTGTAGGAAAGAGGAGATGGATGGCAATGAGCACACTGAGTAGGTGGTGCTGGATTCAGAGGCATCTCTCTGTCCCTGCTGCTGCATTTATGACTCTGTCCTGCGTGAGAACATACTCCTGCCCATCAGGCTACCAGCAACTTTCTGGGGCAGGAGCCTATCCTCTCCTATTCCAGCTCTCTGGGGTAGGTGTGCCAGCACCCACAGGGACCCAGGATGGGATAGCTCCTCTTCCAGCTGTTCTTCCCTAACCTACTAAGATTCTACTGGGCCTTCCATGGACCTGCCCTGATTCTGTCACTCCAGAACACAAGAAATACTCGCTGTCTGCACAGTCTGCTGTTGTGGCTGGGGATCAACCCTGATTTAGATTTGGGTCTTCCTGATGCCTCTGCCATTTACTGGCTGTATTACCTTGAACAAGTTCTTTAACCTCCATGAGTCCTAGTTTCTCTGTCTGTGAAATGGGATTGATAACACCGACCAACCTTGCTTAGTTAATAGAGTTGTGGAAAGATTCCAGTGAGGTAGATGTGGAAGCCTGGACATGCATGTAAAGGGTGTACATGGCAGGGGATTAAGGGAGGCTTTTGATGATCTCCCTGGCTTAATTTGCAGTTCCTCGGAGGGTACCTCATGTACCATGGGGCATAGTCACTGGCACTCAGTATAAACCTGCGAAGACTGATTGACCTCTCCCACCCTAAAACACTGTCTCCACCTGGAATTAACTGTTGCCCACCTGAAATTAACTGTTGCCCTCCCTATGCTCCGGTGGCTATTGCAGTACAGGCTTGCTCTGTGAAGAGTGTATAACTGGATGGGCCCCAGGTGGCCCCAGCAGCCTGCCTTCCCTGCTAGTGAAGCCATGGGCTTGTGCATGACAGCTCTGTCCACTTGAAGGGGGAAGGGTCCATCGTAGGGAGCCAGTGCAGCTGGCAGGGTCCAGGCCTGTGGGCATCGCTGGGGACAAAGCCACTCTGAATGCCTCTCAATGAGTGCTTGTGTTCTGGGAATGGGGGCGGGGTGACATCCAGCCTCTTTCCCTCTCAGCCCCCCATAGGATGTCCCAGGCTGGACGCGGCAGAGGAGGTCCCCAACAAGGGAAGGTCCAGCCCTGCCCCTCCAGGGTTGGCCCATGTGTCTGGGCATTCGGAGGTGGCACCAGGATCAGGGCTTCTGGAGTCCAGCATACTGATTGGGCCCAGGCCGGGGGCGGGTCCAGGACACAGCCAGACTTCCCTGGCCGCAGTGCCCAACTGCCCGCGGTGCCCATGTTGGCTCGGACGGGAGGAACCACAGAGGAGCCGGGGACAGGGGGAGCAGGGCAGTGCTCTGCTGGGTGAGGGGCACCCAGCTCCAGAGGCTAGGTGGGCGTCGCTGGTGGGTGGACTCCTGGGCGCTGCGCGGAGCCGCGCCGGCTGGATTAGCGCGGGCGGGGCGCTTAGTCCCACCCCCAGAGGAGGCGGAAGAGGAGCCCCAGCCTGGCCGCGGGCTGGGCCCCGCCGCAGCTCCAGCTAGCCGGCTTGGTCCTGCGGTCCCTTCTCTGGGAGGCCCGACCCCGGCCGCGCCCAGCCCCCACCATGCCACCCGCGGGGCTCCGCCGGGCCGCGCCGCTCACTGCAATCGCTCTGTTGATGCTGGGGGCTCCCCTGGGTAAGGGGATGGGGAGTGATGCGGCTGGGGTGGGATGGGGTGGGATGGGGGCGGAGGAAGGGGAGGGGCCGATCCGAGGGGCTTGAGGTCGAGGCTTATCCAAGGCTGCCACGGGAGCCTTGGGTGTTGCTGGATCCTCAAGAAGCGGGAAGAGGGAGTGCCAGGATGCTGGGCCATGGGAGGCTGACCCCGGGGTGCAGGGTCAGCTTCAGGCAGAGGCCTCTGGAGCTCCGGAGCTGAGACCCTCAGGTTGGAGACAAGGGGCAACCCTCAGTGTTCGGGAGCCAGCAGGCTGGGGACCACCGGGGGAGTGGGGCCGAGGGCGGCTGGGGATGAACTGGCCTGGTGGCCACTGGGCACCCCCAACCCCTGCCCACAGCGCTGGCCGGCGAGGACTGCCTATGGTACCTGGACCGGAATGGCTCCTGGCATCCGGGGTTTAATTGCGAGTTCTTCACCTTCTGCTGCGGGACCTGCTACCATCGGTACTGCTGCAGGGACCTGACCTTGCTCATCACCGAGAGGCAGCAGAAGCACTGCCTGGCCTTTAGGTGGGTTCCTGCGTCCCCACTCTCACCCCCTCCTCCATCCTTTTCTCCAGAGGCCTCCCCTTCCTCCCTCCCGGCCTCCTGCCTCCTCTCCATTTCGACCTCCACATTCTTAGCTGAATGGAGTCACCAGGACTCCAGCTTGGCGGCAGAGCTAGGTGCTTAGGTGCTGGTGCCTGGGAGTTCCAGAAAAGGCATGTTAGTTACCTTCATAGGCTTTGGCCGGGCCAGGGCTTTCCAGGTTCTTTCTGGAGCCCTCCCTTTGGTCCTGCTAGGTCCTGGGGAGGGAGGGTTAAGGGTTAACACCTGGACGACAGTGTGGCTTTGTGGAAGAAGCTCTGTCACAAAGGCAGAGACTTGGGTTTGATTCCCAGGTCCACTTCTTACTAGCTGTGTGATCTTGGAGAAGACACTTGCCTTCCATGGGTCATTGCTTGCCAAATTAGTGGTTGTCAAACTTTTTAAAATATATCATATATAAAATAGATAGAGACTTCTGATTGAAGTGGGGTTTGGAAAAAATGGCTCTAGATTATTTATAAGGCTCCTTTCAGTGTTATGCTGTATGTCAAATCATTTAAGTTGTAGATATAAAAGCAATGGTTGGGGGCGCACTGCAAATCCCCGTATGCTTCACACTAGCCAGCCAGGCAGCATAGCCTTCTGGGAAGTGGAGGTCCTCTAAGATCTCCTTCACAGGGACTGGGCAGAGCCCCACAAGGAACCCCAAATCTCAGCATGCCGTGGCCCCCCTGCTGGCCAGGAGTTGGAGCCAGCATAATGAGGACTCCCTCCTGTGAGTGTTGGAAGGTGAGAGGACCTGTTCTTTGTCTAAAGTCCCAAGACCATAGCAGGCATCGCCTCAGCTGTGATCCTCTTTGTTGCTGTGGTTGCCACCACCATCTGCTGCTTCCTCTGTTCCTGTTGCTACCTGTACCGCCGGCGCCAGCAGCTCCAGAGCCCATTTGAAGGTACACCCAGTACTGGGCAAGATGAGCCTCATATGGGCTGGGCTAAGTCCCATAATGGGCAGCGGAAAGTTCATGGATTGGGTAAATTCTGTAGTAGTATGTACTTCTGTGTACACGCACCTGCCAGCATGAAAACCCAGAAAAATGCTTGTAAACACCTGACTCTTAGAATGTGCCCAGGGGTATATGGAACATCAGACTGTGTATGCATTTCTGTGCATACACATGAAGATTCAAATGTATACAGGAGTGCAGTCTGTCAACAATAGTGGGTGAGTGGGTGTATGTGTGCACATGACTCTTAGTGAGTACATGGGGTCAGGTCTGTAGTGATGAACATTAATTGAGTGTGCTGCAGTGGACGGCAGAATATGTGCCTGAGTGTTGGCATGTGATACACATATGCCACAACCTGATGGACATGGGGATGGTGGCGCCATATGGGAGATCAGTGTGGGCGGAAAGGGCTAGGAGAAGACCCCCTTAGTGGCAGCTCTGCTGGATTACAGGATACCAGTCCTGAGCTGTCCTCTCCTTGCCCAAGTGAGATATTCCCTGGGCTGTGCTCCCTGGTTCATAAGGTCTCTGAAACCTGCTGAGGGGAGCAAACTTGCTAAACACAGATTGACCAGCTGGGGCCACGAGCACAGCTCCCTGCTTAAATCTGCCAAGCAGGGTGTGGGAGGAAAAGATGGCCAGCCTGGAGCTTGCCAGAGGCCAGCACCAGGGTGCTTACCTTGGTTTCCTGGGCAGGAGGAGGAGGCTTCCCATAGGAGATGGGTCTCTGAATGCTGATCCTTCTCCCCCACTTAGGCCAGGAGATTCCAATGACAGGCATCCCAGTGCAGCCAGTATACCCATACCCCCAGGACCCCAAAGCTGGCCCTGCACCCCCACAACCTGGCTTCATGTACCCACCTAGTGGTCCTGCTCCCCAATATCCACTCTACCCAGCTGGGCCCCCAGTCTACAACCCTGCAGGTAAGTAAGCAATCTGGGGCCCCTTGCTGCTGCCTTCCCCCACCCCTTGCCCTGCAACCCTCCTTGTGCCTCTCTCATTCTCAGATTCCCTCTCCCAGACTTTCTTCACCTCTAACCCGAAACCTCCAGGCCCACTCTTTCCTATGGGTCCTGTCTGCCCTGGGGGTAGGGGGGTTACTTTTCATCCACCTATGCCACCACTCACCCTCATCCTGTCTCTTTGGCTTTCAGCTCCTCCTCCCTATATGCCACCACAGCCCTCTTACCCGGGAGCCTGAGGAACCAGCCATGTCTCTGCTGCCCCTTCAGTGATGCCAACCTTGGGAGATGCCCTCATCCTGTACCTGCATCTGGTCCTGGGGGTGGGCAGGAGTCCTCTAGTCACCAGGCCCCAGACCAAGCCAAGCCCTGGGCCCTACTGGGGACAGAGCCGCAGGGAAGTGGAACAGGAGCTGAACTAGAACTATGAGGGGTTGGGGGAAGGGCTTGGGATTATTTTTACTGGGGGCAAGGGAGGGAGATGACAGCCTGGGTCACAGTGCCTGTTTTCAAATAGTCCCTCTGCTCCCAAGATCCCAGCCAGGAAGGCTGGGGCCCTACTGTTTGTCCCCTCTGGGCTGGGGTGGGGGCAGGGAGGAGGTTCCATCAGCAGCTGGCAGTAGCCCTCCTCTCTGGCTGCCCCACTGGCCAGATCTCTGGCCTGCTGGATTAAAGCTGTAAAGACGTAACTCATATCAGTCGCATCATTGGACCCATCCACACTTTCCAGGAACACCGCCTTCAGCTGGGCCCAGACTGTTGCCCACTCCATATACCAAAAGTAAGGGAGGGCCAGCACCAGCACTGGAGCACAGCACCATCCTCCCCGCCATCCACACACAGACCAAGGCAGACTGTTCCTGGGCTGCTTCCTAAAGACAATGAGGTAAATTTTGCCATGGCTCTGAAGAGATGCTCATTTGCACTACAGGTATTCCCTGCTAGGGATCAACAGCTCTACAGCAGCTGAGGCACTGCTAACTGTACAAAGGCAGTTCTCATTCAGGTACCCTTAGGTTCATTCTGGGCCCCACCACTTTCTGACCTTGGCCATGTCTCCCAAGGTTTCCAATTCTCAGTGTCCTCATCTATAGAATGGGGATAGGACAGGCGCCGTAGTTCAAGCCTGTAATCTCAGTACTTTGAGAGGCCGAGGCGGGCAGATCACCTGAGGTCAGGAGTTCAAGACTAACCTGGCCAGTAGGGTGAATCCCTGTCTCTGCTAATATTTAAAAAAAAGCCAGGCGCGGTGGCTCAAGCCTGTAATCCCAGCACTTTGGGAGGCCAAGACGGGCGGATCACGAGGTCAGGAGATCGAGACCATCCTGGCTAACACAGTGAAACCCCGTCTCTACTAAAAAATACAAAAGCTAGCCGGGCGAGGTGGCGGACGCCTGTAGTCCCAGCTGCTCGGGAGGCTGAGGCAGGAGAATGGCGTAAACCCGGGAGGCGGAGCTTGCAGTGAGCTGAGATCCGGCCACTGCACTCCAGCCTGGGCGACAGAGCGAAACTCTGTCTCAAAAAAAAAAAAAAAAAAAAAAAAAAATTAGCCAAGCATTGTGGCGGGCACCTGTAATCCCAGCTACTCGGGAGGCTGAGGCAGAAGAATCACTTGAACCCAGGAGGCAGAGGTTACAGTGAGCTGAAATTGTACCACTGCACTCCAGCCTGGGCGACAGAACCAGGATCTGTCTCTAAATAAGTAAATAAATAAATCGAATGGGTATAATACCCCATGGCTGTCAGGAGGGTGAAATATTATGTACATTAAACTGTTAGTCCTGTCCTTTCCTGCCTGATTAGAGGTCCTAGGACTAGGAGCCAGGTAGAGACACTGGGTGACCCAAGAACCTGGTGCAAGGTGCTTCTGTCAGCTGCTTGGATCCCAGTCCCCAGGCCCATGTCTGTGACCCCCGCTGAGCCACGCAGTGGGGGATGTGACCTTTTCTCCCCCTCCTCCCACAAATACTGCCTAGAAGAGCCTCCCACCTCTGGAGCTGCCTGGCTGTCTTCCATCTCCTTGTTCCCTGGGGTCATGGTCCTTGTGCTCTCAGGACTTGTCTGGTGACAGATCCAGGGAAGGAGGTTTTATTGTTTTTAATTCAAGTGGGAAAAGTGTAAGCTCAGCTTGGCAAAGCCCCACCAGTGAGGAGCCCCTCCCCTCCCCAAGCCCCTTATCCAAGTATCCTCTAAGCCCAGCCCTCCTTTTCTCCCCGTGCACAGGTACTCCAGCCCCACAGCAGCCTCAGGCTCTGCTCTCCTGCCCTGCCGCCTCAGACCTCTGGGCTCCTGCAGCCCAGCTGGGTTCTGGGTAGGGCCATTGTGCTGACCATGCCCCCATGCAGGGTAATGCCCCCTACTGTGCACCCTGCACGACCAGGCTGGGGCCCCCGACCTCTGAGTTTGGCCTGACTAGGGCCTGTGTTGCTGTGGTGCTAGGCTAGGCTGCTGGCCTAAGAGTGGCCAAGAGAGTGTGGCCCCCCTCAGCACCCTTCCCCCAGCACTTCTGGGGTGGCTTTCTGCCACCCACATCATCTTGAGGACTATCCCTTGTCATGCAGCCTGGAAGGCAAGAACTCCTGGGCCAGGGTTTTGGGGCCAGGGCCAGAAATTCCCCTGGCGGAGCCCTGCCCCTAGATTCACAGCTTTCCCATTCCCAGTGAAATATCCATGGGGCCCATGTGTCTGCCCCTGGATCAGACCCAGACAGGGAGGGGCTGCTGATGCTGGTAGAGACAGGGCTGAGGCCACAGGTACAAATCCACTTTCTCTTTGAGGGTGGGGACAAGAGGTGGGGGCTGGAGCCCTGGAGTCCCTGGCTTCACAATTTAGGAAAGAGGGTCTCCAAGTCCTCTGAGGTTTGGAGTCCAGTCTCCTCTCTCCTGAAGCTGAGAGCTGGAAGAGATCGACATATTAAGGTTTTTGAGTTTCTCTGAGAGATGATGTGAAATGTATGCAACGTGATGCCAGTCAGAATTAATTATCCTTGAATCAACAACCTGGTGTCAATGAAAAAATGCTTTGTAGTCTGGGATACGAGGCAGGTTTACCCAGCCCTAACTGAGACTGGAAGAGTGGGGTTGCCCCATTTCCAGTCAATTCACTCCACAAAACACTGAAGAGAATTCGAAGAAAAGGAGAAAACTGCAACAAAGTAGGACTGTCACGTGCTCTGAGCAGTGACAAGGTCTCTCACATATCCTAGAGTTCTTTAAATGAAGGCAATCAGCCCTGCATCTCTTCCCAAAGCACTGCAGTCTCCTCTGACTCCACCTTATCTGACTCATCATCTGGGAAACAAGGGGAGCCCAGCGGGGCCAGGGGAGTACAAAGCTGTAGTTGCCCCTCCAGATCACCTTGTTCCTCAACTAGCACCCCTGAAAGCCAATCAGGGACCCCATAAGGGCAGGCAGAAGTGAGGGTGGGAGGGGCAGTGTCCCTCAAGGATTGGGGGACCTCAGGACCTCTCTGGCTAAATCATGTTTGAAGTTTGGTAGAAAGGGCTTCCTAAGGTGACACCTTTTTAAGGTGTTGGAGCCTTAAGATTTGGAGGTAGGTTGTTTGGGTTCAGGTGAGCGTCCAGTGCTTTCCTGCAGCACCGTCACAGCCTTATTTCAGTGAGGGAAGGAAGGAGAGCTGTTAATGAGAAGCAGTTCTATGGCCTGAAGACCTGGGCTCAAAACAAAACCAACAAACAAAAAAGACCTGAGCTCTGCCTTTTATTAGCTGTGTGATCATGGATATATTAGTTAACCTCTCTGGGCCAAACTCTATCTGCAAAATAGAATACTGGTATCCACCTCACAGAGTTGAAGGATCAGCTGAAGCAACCTAAAGCATCTAGCTAGTGCCCAGCACCCAGCAGGCACAGGAGGTGCAGTGGGGCTGACAATGGCGTCAGTCGAGTCCTGCCAGGCTGAGAGGGAATGGTGAATCCCTCAAGGGGCAGTCTGGGAGGCATAGGTGGAGAAGAGGGGCATTTTTAGACAAAAGCAAGTCTTAGGGCAGGAATCTTGCCAGGCTGGGCCTGCTCAGGGGGAAGCAGATCTCATAGGGGGATGAGAGGGGTCAGGTGCAGGGAAGGAGCTAGGGCAGGGACACATGGAAATACAATGGGCAGTGGGAGAAAGATTGGCAAGAAAGGAGAGACACCTTGGGGGAGGGGAGAAGGGCCTCCCTCCTTCCCCCTAGGTGAACAGAAGGGCGGCACTTCAGGCAAGGAGTAAAGGAGGGAGGGGCAAGTAAGGGAAGGGCTCTAGAGGACTGGAGGAAAGAGGGAGGGAGAGGCAGGAGGGGCATAGGCAGGACGAGTGGGAGGTGCTGAGGGAAGGGTGCTGGGGGGCCACACTCTGCTGGCCACTCTTAGGCCAGCAGCCCAGCCCAGCACCACAGCAACACAGGCCCTAGTCAGGCCAAACTCAGAAGTCAGGGGCCCCAGCCTGGCCATGCAGGGTGCAGAGTAGGGGGCAGCACATGGCACTCCCAACTTGGTGGTCCAGAAGCTCATGGGTGACCTACATCCAGATCTCATGTTTCTTAAAGAGTGCCGTATGTGTGCTACAGTGCCCAGGCCTAGAGCCCCTTGCTCACCTGCAGGTTGAGCTTCTGTGAGGACAAGTGAGGCCAGCGCCTTGGCAGCTGCTGGTGCCTACCATCCCACCCACAGCCAGCACCAGGGCCTAGGTCCCAGTGCTGGCATCCCTTGGGGTGGCCCAGGGAAGGTAGAGGGAAATACACTTTTCCCATCTGGATAGGGCCAGGAGGCAAGAAGCTTGGGGTGCAACAGCTGGGCCCTGCGGGCCAGGAGAGCTGAGAGGTGAAGCCTCCCTTCCTTGTGGGTAGGAGCTAGGGAATGTGATTCCCCAGGAAGTGATGGAGGGTAGGGGGGCAGAGTGGACGATATGACAGTGGGGGCTGCAGGCAGAGACTGTGGAGGTCAGACCGTGGCTTCATCCAGGTTGCTAGATGAACCCAAAGGTACGAGACTTGGGTTCAAATCCGGATTCATCAACTTGGACAAGTCATTTGCTGTCTTTGAACCTGTTTTTTGTCCCTGTACAGTACGGGCACCAGACAAGGATAGAGCCTTTCTGGATGTACCCCCCTAGGTTTTAGGAAAGGAAGCTGGATAGATGGGTGACTGCCAGTGCTGGTGGGGCAGGTGGGCAGCAGTGGGTGCATGGTCCAGCAGAAACGCAGCCTCCAGAGTTTGGGCCCCTTTTCCGAAGCTCACCAGGCTATCTACCCATTTTTCCCTCCTCCTTCCTCGAACTGCCTCCCTCCCCTGGTCCCTAGCACAGCTCCAGGGCGTCCCTGGAGCAGCCGGAGAATCTGGGTTGCGGTCCACCCCCAGGTGGCGCTGCGCTTCCGCACCAGGTTCAAGTGCACCAGAGGAATGATTACATCATCCAGGGCAGAAACAGCATCCCGCAAGAGCACCGCAGAGGGGCAGCTCACTTGTTGCTCGGGACAGTAGGGAGTGGTTTTTCTCTCTGGCTAAATTATGTTTGAAGTTTGGTAGAAAGGGCTTTCTAAGGTGACACCTTTTTAAGGTGTTGGAGCCTTAAGATTTGGAGGTAGGTTGTTTGGGTTCAGGTGAGCGTCCAGTGCTTTCCTGCAGCACCGTCACAGCCTTATTTCAGTGAGGGAAGGAAGGAGAGCTGTTAATGAGAAGCAGTTCTATGGCCTGAAGACCTGGGCTCAAAACAAAACCAACAAACAAAAAAGACCTGAGCTCTGCCTTTTATTAGCTGTGTGATCATGGATATATTAGTTAACCTCTCTGGGCCAAACTCTATCTGCAAAATAGAATACTGGTATCCACCTCACAGAGTTGAAGGATCAGCTGAAGCAACCTAAAGCATCTAGTTAGTGCCCAGCACCTAGCAGGCACAGGGGGGTGCAGTGGGGCTGACAGTGGGGGCTGACAGTGGAAGCTGTAGCTGGTCTTAGCTCCAGCTCATACCCTTTGGGTCCGGGAGCCAGTGTGTGTCTGTCTCCTCTCCTCTGGGCCCAGTGATTGCTTAGGTGACTGGGGTGACAGGCAAGTGGGTGGAGGGAATGGGGAAGAGTGTGCCCTGGGATCTGAGGGCTTTACCTCGGGAAGAGACTGCCCTCTGGCTTTGGGCAGCCCTAGCACAGTGATCCTGCTTCCTAGCTGGGGTATCCCACCCTCACCTCAACGATGGTGAAACTGCTATGCCTCCTGCTGTTGAGGCAACCTGGAGGCAGAGAAACCTACAAGCGACACAGACCCAAGGTGGCAGTTCCACAGTGCCAACGGGTGCCAGCACCTTCAAGAGAATGAAATTCACAAAGATGCCTTTCATCTACACGCGATGGTGGGCATGGCAGCATTGTCAGCATTCCTGCAGTTGGGACAGGAAGCGGAATTGGTGAGTAGATGGGGAGGGCTGGGGAAGATGAGGCCCTTCTGAGCCCTAGGGCACACAGGTATGGGTGCTATTCTCCAAATAGTCACTCCACTTGTCTGCCTGCTGCCTTCCTGGGCCTGTGACTGCTGTGAGGACCTGGCCCTGAGCCTGTGGTTAGGCAGAGTCATGGAATGAGCATCCCTAAACATGCCTAATATAGCCATCCCATCGCCCTGCGCTCCACTCTGCCCCAGCACCCCTGAGAACAGCTCTGGCTACTGACTCCAGGCAGCAGGACTGGTTCAGGAGCAGACCTAGTAGAGGCCTGGCCTTCTAGACCTGGACAACCAGGTCAGTGGAGAGTCCTCTGCTCAGAGTTCAGATTTTCCTCCATGCTACACTTTCTGAGGATGTGAATTTATTTCATGGCCAACTCAAATAGCGTGGCAGGGAACCTGAGCTTCTAGAGTCCTCCAGGGAGCCCAGGGTTAGGATCAGGACTCACAGTTCAGGACAACAGGTGGGGCACAGCCATTCACAGCTAAAGGTTTGTATATATTATCAAAATCTTATGGAAAAACAGATACACAGCTATTTATACAGCAGCAGGTGGATGTGAGGAAAGTGTCTACTTTGGCATCAAACCTTCAAGTCCAGCTGCTGTCTGTCCCACTCCTCCTGTCTCGAGTCTACTCCCACCAGGCACTGTCCATCCAGGCCGCTGCCCCTGCCACATCCTCTGATTAGCCTGGACTTTGGGGTGTCCTCAGCCCCTCCCCATGCTCCCCTTTGTGCCCCCATGCCTCTCCATCTTTCTGCCATTGTCCCACACAGAGTGCCACTGGCCCAGCAGCTTTGCCCCGTGGGCTCCTCAGAGGCCTGAATCCTGGCCCTAGAGGGCAGTGGGGCTGGGGTGGATGTGGTCCCTGTGGGACATCTTTCCTGGATCACAGGTCTTTTGCAGCTTGCCAGCTACATGGGCCCTGGACAGTGCCATCTTCTCAGCGATGTGCTAAAAGGACTCTTCTTGTCCGGAAACCTGAGCTCCAGGTATTAAAGCAAAATTTGGAGAGCCTCAGAGACAAGAAAAGGAAAGCGAGAAGAGATAAGGCATCCTTCCTTGAGCGTGACCCAGGCCTTGACTGTCCCATGGCAGAATAGGGACATCCACAGCAGGTCAGCCAGGGACAGGGTGGGCAGGGTCTGTGTAGCCCTGGGAGGTGAGGCCTGAGCAGTCATGGCATTGGCAGATGGTGCCTGGTAGCCTGGTCCTACTGAAGCAGTTTGGGCACTTCCACCTGTAGGGGCAAAGTAGAGACAGGTTAGAGAAGGGAGCTTGGCCACCTCACCTCCCTCCCTACTGGAAGGACACAGGAGACACTGCAATATGTTATGTCTGTGGAATGTGAATGAGGTGTTGACACTGAGGGAGCATTTTTCCTTGTCTGTAAAAATTGGATGTCATCAAGTGACCACTGGAATTACAATGGAGATTGTCCTTTATCTCATGATATCTTGTCCCAGATGATGTTGTGGGAGTTGGGTATCCAGCCAAATGGACAAACGATCATGGACTTTGTCACCAGGCCAGACTTCCAGGGGAGGCAGAGCTTGGAGAAGTAGGGTGTCCAGGGATGGCTCCTGTGTCCATAGCACTGGCTAGGCAAAGGTAGACTCTCCTGAGAGGTGAGTCTCCCAGAGACCTTTCGGATGGACTGGCCTGTAGGACTCAGCTTGTCCTGAGAGGAGGCTAAGTAAAACATGGATCATTTTTGTTTGGGGAAATGGAGAAGACTTAAAGGAAGGACCCGAGGCAAAACTACTCTGTAGAGGCCATTTCTCCATTTTAAGGAGAAACAGGCTTCACTGCAGGATGAAAGAGAAGCATGGAGTGAGGGGCTAAAGGAAGCTCCTTAAAGGAAGGGTAGAGTCTCAGCTCTAGGGGATGTACAAGTGTGACCTGCCTGCAGGCAGAAGGATGCATAAGATGACCTGAAGTTCCCTATGGGCCCTGGGAGTCTATTTCATCTGCAGCCAACATGAGCTCCTCTGCATGCCTTCCCTTTTGCAGTCCTGCCCTCTCCTCCTAACCAGCCCCGCCCTGTTGGTTCACACCAACAACTACTTAACTTCTTGAGCTGCTTGAGGTTGCTGGAGCGGATGGCGGCCAATAGCTGGTCACGGGAGTTCTTCTCCTGGGCAGGGAGGACTTTGTCTCCCATCTTCCTCTGGGTAGCTGGTGAGAGTGAATTCTTCAGGTTTTCCATGATAAGGGGTGGAGCCAAGGGAGGGGGAGGGGGAGGTGGGGCAGCTGGAGCACCCCCTTTTTTGGGTGAGTTCTTTGGGGAGGGCTTTGGAGATGGTTGAGGTGAAGGTTTTGGGGAGCCCTTGGCCAGAGCCCCGGCCTTGGGTACCTCCAGCAGATCCTTCTTCTCTCCCTTGGCTTCCTGTGCCTGCCTTTGCTCCTGCAGCCGCTTTTGTCTCTGCTTGTCCATGTTGCGGCTGAGCAGATTGGTGACGGTCATTCGGGGCCCGGCTAGCTCAAAATGGTAGCCCAGCTTGAGCAGGGTAGTATTCTCCTTCAGTAGCTTGGCGATCTCCATCTCCGTCTTGCCTCCACAGATGTGTCGCTGGTTGTGGAAGCGGAGCTCGGTCAGTGTGTTGTTCTGGAGGAGGGCCCGGAAGATGGCCAGGATGCCTTTGCCTGTGATGTGGTTGGAGTCCAGGTTGAGGCTGGTGATGGTCTTGTTGGCCTTGAGCATGATGGCAATGGCAAAGGCCACATGGTCATCGGCTCGCGTGTTGGCCAAGGCAAACACCTTAACCACAGTGTTGAATTCCAGAGCCTCAGTAAACCGGACCAAGATCTCATTTGTGATGCAGTCTGAGTTGTTGACATTCACCTCAGTCATCTCAGGGTCATTGTTCTTCACTCTTTCCAGAGGCTCATCAAATATGCTGGGAGCTGCCTCCTCCTCTGCCTTGGCCGGCCCTTCAGAGGGCTTGGTGGGGCCACTGGGCATCTGTTTCTCGGGTGTTTTAGTCTTGCTGTCTTCCTTGGCTTCCTTTTCATGTAAGGGTTCATCCTTCTTGACTTTTTCATTCTCCTTTTTGGTGTCTGTGTTCCCAGTTCCTCTTTTTACCTTCTCATCCTCCTTTTTCATGTCTGTGTTCCCACCTGCTCTTTTCATCTTCTCACCCTCTTTTCTGGTGTCTGTGTTCCTACGCTCCCCTTTTACCTTCTCATCATCCTCTTTCTTGGCCACCTCCTTCATCTCCTCTCTCTTTTTATCCTTGTCCCTGCTCAAGCCTGTGTTCCTGTCACTCCCTTTCTTCTCCTCTTCCTTCTTGGTGGCCACTGCCCTCTCCTCTGCTCTCCCATCCTTCCCTGCCTCCTTCTTATCCACTGCAGCCCTGACCCGGCCCTTGTCAATGCCCCGGATGATCTTCTCCTCCTTGGGCTTCTCGCCACTCTTGCCATCAGCTTCATCTCTGTCTCTAGAGAAGCTTTTCTTTAAACCACCCCTCTTTGGCTCCTTCCCCAGATCTGAGTCCCGTCTGGGGCCCAGGGCTTTTTTGCTGGCATCTCTGCCCCTTTCCTCTCCATTCTTGGCATCTGTCTTGGTCTCCACTTGCTTGCTTTCCTAAGAATTCAGAAAAGAAAAATAAACATGAAAAGCTGGCTACAGAGGGAGAGGAATGAGTATGGGGATGTGTGGGGGAGCGCTTACGTAACTGCCCTTGAGCCTCTGAAGGACAGTTGTGTTGTTTGGGAGAGTGGGGTGGATGTCTCCATTGAGGGCAGCAAAAGAGGGACTCAGGTTTAAGCTGCAGAAATGGAATGACATCAGACTCAAGGCCTCAGGGTCATGAGACAACCAAACACCTGCAAATGTTGTGGCAGTTCCTTTTATGGAGTATTCTCAGACCCAGAATTGCCCTTTCCTATCATGGGTGATTTAGAAGAACTGCTTCTAAGCAGTGCCCTGCCAAGCACATTGGAACCTGAGGCAAAAGGTGAAATACTAACACTGATTCTGTCTTTAAAATTTTGCATTGCTGTTTATTGTGGACTTTTTGCATTAGTTTTATTTTTAAAAATATACATGAGGCCGGGCGCGGTGGCTCAAGCCTGTAATCCCAGCACTTTGGGAGGCTGAGACGGGCGGATCACGAGGTCAGGAGATCGAGACCATCCTGCCTAACACGGTGAAACCCCGTCTCTACTAAAAAATACAAAAAAACTAGCCGGGCAAGGTGGCCGGCGCCTGTAGTCCCAGCTACTCGGGAGACTGAGGCAGGAGAATGGCGGGAACCCGGGAGGCGGAGCTTGTCATGAGCCCAGGTCACGCCACTGTACTCCAGCCTGGGCAACAGAGGGAGACTCCATCTCAAAAAAAAAAAAAAAATATATATATATATATATATACACACACACACACACACACACACACACACACACACACACACACACACGAAGGCCGGGCGCGGTGGCTCATGCCTGTAATCCTAACACTATGGGAGGCTGAGGCAGGCGGATTACCTAAGGTCAGGAGTTCGGGAGTTTGGGACCAGCCTGGCCAACATGGAGAAACCCGTCTCTACTAAAATACAAAATTAGCCAGACATGGTGGTGCATGCCTATAATCCCAGCTACTCAGGAGGTTGAAGCAGGAGAATCACTTGAACCTGGGAGGTGGAGGTTGCGGTGAGCCGAGACTGCGCCATTGCACTCTAGCCTAAGCAACAAGAGCAAAACTCTGTCTCAAAAAAATATATATATATGTGTGTGTGTGTGTGTGTACACACACACACACACATACATGAAAACATCAGTTATCTTACTCACTGACTTTTTGGCATCCACTTGTATTCTGCGCCCAAAGTGAGTGCCTCACATCCCCTCACCTTAGTCCTGGCCCCAGTTTTTAAGGAGTAGGTCAGTAGTTCTGAAATACAGGAATTTTATAAGCCAATACATTTCCAAAGGAAAAAAAAACTGGAGGGATCAACATATGCTAACATTTTATTTTACCAATTAAGGATATTTGTAATTTTTTTTTTTTCTTAGAGATGGGGGTCTCGTTATATTGCCCAGGCTGGACTCAAAATCCTATCCTCAAGCAGTCCTCCTACCTCAGCCTCCCAAAGTGCTGAGATTACAGGTGGGAGCCGCCATGCCCGTCCGGTATTTTAAAATTCTATCTACCATCATCATCTCATCAAAATAAGAAGGAGCTAATTTTAAAGAAGGTAGGCATAACAGAGTAAAGAATATACCTTAACAACAAATATGTGTGTTTTTTAAAATTCACAGTATTGTCCTTATTTTTAGTAAAAACTTAGCTAAAGACAAGCACCTCTCTGTGGAGAGCCCTGGAATTCATTGGGTCAGCTGATCTCTGCAAGACTCTGCCAGATTCTGGATCTTGGATTCTATGACTCAATTTTGACCCCCGAGACACTGAGAAGTTTGTGAGAGAGGCCATGGGACCCTAGTCAGTTGAGCTGCGATGGGGGCTTGAGGTTTTTTTTTTTTTTTTTTTTTTTTGAGACAGAGTCTTGCTCTGTCACCCAGGCTGGAGTGTGATGGCGTGATCTTGGCTCATGGCAACCTCTGCCTCCCAGGTTCAAGTGATTCTCCTGCCTCAGCCTCCTGAGTAGCTGGGATTACAGGCACGCGCTACCACGCCCAGCTAATTTTTGTATTTTTAGTAGAGACGGGGTTTCACCATGTTGGTCAGGCTGGTCTCTAACTCCTGACCTCCTGATCCGCCCACCTTGGCCTCCCAAAGTGCTGGGATTACAGGCGTGAGCCACCGTGCCTGGCCAGGGGCTTGAGTTTTATACACAGCATAAGCCACCCACACCTCCGTGGATCCCTGTTTCTTCCTCCATAAGGGTGCACCGAGCCTGAGCCCTGTTTTGAGAGCACTTGCTTCTCATCTTCATCATAGAAGCAGAGGAAGTGGCAGGGTTAGACATTAGACTTAACTGTCCAACTGTGATGGAGACCCCAGAGCAACTGGGACTTAAAGGGAGGCTGTGATGTCCTCCCCTAAAGGTTTTTCAAGAGGAAGAGACTACGGTTTGAATATTTTAAAAGTTTTCTTTCAAGAGTGCCAGGTTGGGGTGTGGGGAGAGGGAAGGGAAGAAAGGAAAGCAGCTCTCTATCGCACTCTCTGGCCCATGTTGCATTTCTTCAACCTCCACTCTTCGCCAAGGGAATGGAAAGAAAAGTGAGTCCTATGGAAACGGTTTGTACCTGCACCACAAACACATGCCACGGGGGACCAGCCCCTAGGTTTTTTTAGCAGTGAAAGTCCTTGGCTCCTCTGCTAGAATCACAATAAGCAGCCAAGGGGCACAGCGCCTAGTGAGACAGGGCC